ATGACCAGTATGTTGCAGATTAGATCAGCACTGACCCCCTTCTTTCAACCCAACTTCCCCCAAACATAATCCTGCTACACCTCTGCTAGTGTTACCATGTAAGTGGCTGTAATGATCAGTGAGGTGTACTCCGACTCTGATCATATTTCAGATAGATCCAGGCTTGAGATAGAGCAGATCTGGGATCACCCTGTGGTGCTAATGTGGAACACAGGAAGCCTACTCCTGTGCTGTCAATATTTACCTTTCCCCTCACAGTTTGGACAGTTTGTGAGTTTCATCTTTCCAATTACTTCCTCCTCAGCCTGACAGGGTCCCTGTATGAAGGGATGATCCTTCTCTGGCTGTTTGGCCTACAAACACCGGCAGCAGGCTTGCAGATCAAGCAATCAGACCTGAAAAACCAACCAGTTTTATAGCGAGATGCATAGATTTGGCCAGCAGTAAACTGTGGAGGGTACATGTACATTGTAGCATTACTCATTACCAGTATTTTAAAGATGCAGGCAATGACATTGCCTGCTACTTGTACATTCTCTCATTTGTCACTATATTGGGGCTATATCATGGTTTTCATGATGTTCAAGTGGTAAAAGTATATAATATTATGTCTTGACTTCTGTATGTGTTCAGTCATGGACTTTTGTACCTACATTATGGGCCTTTGCAAGCTAGGAGGTTATGTTTTACATTTGAAACTTTGGCTGACTTGCATCCTCAATCAGACCTATCTCATTTACTCCCACTTCTTCCTCAGTCTGGCAAGCAATTTTTGCTGAATATTGGATCAATACTGCAATTTTCCACACCACCTGGTTATATGGATTGGGATAAGTGCATATATATTATAAGGATCATATCCCATCAAGGGTTCTGGCAGTAGACTTGAGAGAGAGGGTGATATATGACTTAAGGACCCCAGGGGGTCACAAATGCCTTCCAAGGGGTTTTGGAATGAAAATCAAGTTTGTGGCTAATGAATTGAGTTAGTCTGCTAGCTCCCTGACACAAAGGTAATTGGACCAGTATGAGAGCTAAGTCTGAGACAAATAAATTTTCCAATTTGCCACCTAAAAGACCATCACTTAGCAAGACTTAACATTAATCAAGAATAGGAAAAAATAAAATATAATAGATATGTGTGTGTGTGTGTGTGTGTGCAACTAACTACATGTGATTTTGGCCTTACCCAGTAAAAAGAAGACACAAGGAACTAATGATAAGTAAGAAACAGAACTGATTTGTCAGACATCTGTTTTGAATGGGGTGGCTGCTGCCTACTGCCACTACTTTGCTGCCAACTTGCAAGTGTGGGGATCCATACAAGGTGTATTGGAACCAAATGTCTCTGTAGGGGAGGGCAGCGGTTTGCCACCCAGGGTGGGCCAGTCAAGGCTTTGGTGTTGGAGGTTGGACCTGAGAGCGGGGCAAGTGGACCTGGTGCAATTTCATGCTCATAGCTGGAATGTGTTGGCAGTGGACACCTGATGGTGGATTCAAAGGTGCTCATTAAAGAGTTGCCTGTAAGATTTTGATAGCTGTGGTCTGATCTCCCAGCTCTTTGAAGCTACCATTGACCAGCAGTGGATGAGAGAAGAAGAAAGGAAAGACCCCCTTGGTATATGTATTATGTATATGTATTATGTATATGTTAGACATTTCCATGCATAGATCAGGGAGTAGACCACCACCTACATGTACACAACAGAGGTCATCCAAACATGCATGGAAAAATGACACACTGTAACATCATAAACACTGTGTCTCCTTTATCAGTTATGACATTATTGGAGTTGTTGCACCCCAGGCACCTGTGGGCAGACCTCCCCACCCCTGGGGCAAATCTCCCCACCCCCACAGACTCACCTGCCAAGTCCCATCATCATCAACACAGTCTTTCCCTTTGAACTCTGCTCCATGACAAATTCCCACTATTAATTTCAGCTAGTCCCCTGCGCCTTGTCTGAAACCAAAAACACTCTTAGAGCTTTTGCCTACAAAGCAAGACAAGTTCGAAACTACAACCTTTATTGCTTCTGAAACATCAGCTGGAATATAAATTTGTCCCCATCAAATAGAACATAAAAATTGGTCCCGGGAGAGTCATACTGAGTAGGTAATGACTTGTACAAAGACTCCTCTAAAGACTCATCTAAAGTTTTCAACTCCATTTGGAAGGCTTCCAAACGTTGCCTCCTGGTTGGGTCATAACTTAACTATAAACTAACCAAGTTTAAAGTCAGGCAGAGACAGTGTTGAAGAATCCAGCCAATTTGTAGGCCTTCCTGCCGGCCAGTTCTGATCACTCATCAGGTCAGATTTCTTCTGCGTCTCCCAGAATGCCTCCTGAATATTTCATGTCACATTGCCTGAGCTGTATTACTTTGATCAGCACTGCTGCCAAGGTGTATATGTACATATGTTGAACAGTTGCATTCTGGAATACATAAGAATGCTGTAGACACCCTTTATTTTAATAGTTTGGAGGTGTAACTCTAAATCAAACGTCAATTTTAAAGGATATTAAATAATTGTTTTAATGAGTAAATGGTAGTACACAATAACAGGCATCACACCTGTCGTGTTTGGAAGATGAGGCAGAATTAGTACTGCTCTGCGTAAAATGCTGGCCTGTAACAACGTTAACTGTTCTGGAGTGAGAAGCCATCACTCTGGAGTGAGAAGCCATCACTGAACACTTTTCGTACAGACACGGCGTTTCTTTACGCCAGGCAGCGGGGAGGAAATGCTACCGCTAAGTCTACAAGTGCCACACACAGCTCGGCCTAATGTTACCGGCGCGGTATGCTCCCCCTCTAAAACGGAGTATTGGCAAGCACATGCAAAAACAGTCACCTGTCCCGAAGGCCACACAGGCAGCAAGTGCTTCATATTTGTGTTTGCTTTTCCATAATGTTTATGGGCGGTATCACTGCAAAGACGTGCTGTAAACTTAACAGGAGCCTGTTACACGTCTGTAAATCAATGTCCCAGTCACCAGGATCACACGTTTGACAAAATAACCACTGCTTCGTCCCTCCCACTCTCCAGCTCCCATGTATCATTAGCAAGCCCATTTCTATGACAGCCATTCAGTGACCATTGTTAGCACAGGTGAGGTGGTCCTCACCTTTAGATCCCAGCTGAAACTTAACCTGTCCGGCACAACAAACAGCCCGGCACCTCTGTGTGTGGTAAGGTTGGGAGTCAAAGGGACGACAAGATGACCCCTTTTAAGGGGAGCCCCCGCTTTGCTTACATTGGGACAATTGTAAAGGCAAACAATTGCCAGGTAAATCCAACAAAGTGCCACTTGCTGTGTACCTACCTGTCCAATATGTCAACTTAGCAAAGCAAGATGCTCTAATATATAAACTCTACCAAGTTCTTGTCTCAATAGCATATAGAAAAGAATGTCAGTTTGACAGAACTTTGATAGTTAGCAGCAAAGGAGAGAAAACATTTTTCAATGGACTGAAATCCCACAACAAAGCTCAGGTCCTCTTTGAAGTGAGTCCAGCCTCCCGGGAAGCTTCCTCTGAAGAGGTGATGATAGTCTTGACCATGGGTCTCCTGTCATGCTAGGTGAAGAAGTACTTTGAGATTTAATCAGGCATGTACAGACAGCTCAGGTTGTTTTCTGCAGGTGTTGGCAAAGACAATAGTTGGCAGGTGTCGCTGACAGCACACCTGTCAACATGCTGGACATGAGTCTGCTTCCTGTCAGAACTTAAACTTCCAGTTAGTGTTTCTTGTGAAGACTCTTACTTGTAAGCTTTACACATGACTTTGCCAGGTAGGAAGCACAGGGGATGCATAATTTAAAGCTGAACTGCACATGACCAAGCTAGCTTTCTCACAAGGTTATCGTTTTGCCCAACAATGCCAGGAATGTTGTATTCGCCATAGCTTCATCTACCCTTGAATGGCGGAACATGAAAGGATAGAATCTATCTACATTTCAGCATAATTTCCTTTGTATGACTGAAACGGAGCTCAAGGATAAAACGTCTCGCAACATTATCCCTCTTCATGGTAGATTAGCAGTGAAATAAAGGAGTATAATTGCTTCGCCTAATGGCCTCCCTAAAAGTTGCAAAACTTGTATGATGCCCCTCTTAGCAGTGTAAGTTATAAGAGAGATCAGCTGACAATCATCCCTTTTAGTATGATTTTATATCACTTATTTTGTGCAGAAAGCTAACGTAAGAGCTTGACCTGTATAGTATAGGAAACTAGGTCATCTCCAATGTTTGTGTCACTCCTGAGTGAGTTTATAACAGCACTAATTGAAGGGTTTTCCTGCTGAGTCTGTGTGCAGCAGGACTTTGCTGGATGCGCTCCAGTTAGACTGGAGTTGAAGTTTGAACAGGTGGATCGCAGGAGATCTGTGCTGACCTCATTTCTGCTTTGTGTTACCTGGTATGAAGTCATCCCAGCAGAAATGGTAGCCTTGGGTTTGGGTTAGGAGAGGCATCTTATTTTACTGTCATCTTTTCATGAGGCAGGCACACTTGTTTTAACCTCAGTTTTACAATGCATTAAAGATGCACAATAGTATTAGAGAAATCTTACCATAGCAAGCCATTTGGGTACATCCAACTAGGGTTGAACATGGTATCTCATACTAGCCACCCACTTTTGTATTAGATTAGCCTTATGAAAATGTAGTTGACATGTACTTACTTAAGTTAGTAGATGCCATACTTTGTACACTGTACAATTGTTGCGCAATAAAGTTATCTTATTTTAGAAATATTATCTTGGACAACAATTCTGGTGGACCAGTTTTGCTTGCTCATGCTTCTGTGTTTGGATTAATTGCCTTTGTAAAAGTACCACTAATTTTCTTTCTAAAAAATACCATTAATTTTCTTTCTAAGGAAAATTAAAATGATATCAAATTATCTTGACTGAATAATTGATATAATGTGTGATAAATGATACACAATATCAGAATCTTTTTAAAGTTCAATTATTCTTCTATCTTCCATCTGCAGTGACCTGAGCCATAACCACATACAAGTTGTGACGAAGAAAACATTCAAGGGGGCAAACAAAATGAAGAACTTGTAAGTATCTTTTATCATTTCAATTTTATTATACAGTTATAAACCCTGAAGAATGTGCTTAAATTTCAACAGAGACTTTGGCATGAGTACATTTAACATGAGAAATTGATGTATGTGTATTTACAACTGTAATGTTGTGTATGTATATGCATATGTACCTTGTTTGGAACTGCTCTACAACACAGCTCAAACAATTTTTCTAATGACCACCTGCAAATGTAACATTCCTGTTTTGTAGGCAACTTGACAACAACAGACTCTCATGTATTGAGGATGGAGCTCTGAGGGGAATGAAGGAAATGCAAGTTCTGTAAGTAGTAATTAACTTCATCTGTAATATACATGTACAAACCCATTTTGCTGCTTTTAAAGCAGACTTGGTAATTCTAATGTCTAATTTTACAATGTGTTAAGACATTGTGAGCTGCATCATCTGTAGAATATGCTAGTGCAAATGGCCCTTAGCTATTGTGTATATGTATGTCTGTCTTGCTTGCTTGAAGATGTATTATGTAATTTTAAAAAAATCTAATGACCTAAGCTACTGTTCAGTAAGCACTAGACATTTAACTTTGACATTTGTGTTTGTCTTTTTTTCCCAACAGAACATTAAACAGCAACAATCTGACAACCCTGTCCCCTGGAACGATTGGCCAGATGCCGAAACTTAGGACCTTGTGAGTTCTCAGACTGTACACTGTAGCTATGGTTTCAGTTATTAGGTTACTTTGTAAGTCATAATACATGTATGTTGTAATCTCTCTTTAACTTGTCAACATTATCCAATTTACAGTATTTTCCACTTCATAGTTGTATTCTGTTCTGCAGCATTGACATGTTGTAACTCTTGTCCAGTGTGCTGGATTGTCACATAACTTCTGGAATTTGAATGGGAAAATGCACACAGAAATTTACAATTATGAATAAAACAAGAAATTCACATTTTATATATTTCACTCAGGTATGAGATCTCAGATATTTTTGGTTAAAGCATGAGAACATATGCCTTTCCTGAAGCCAGATGGCGAACAATGAGCTGATCTGTGAAGGGCTGATGGGGCCTGCTCTCCTCTAACCAGTGAAGGGTTGCTTGTGATGTAGTCAGGCTAATGAGAACTGCGCTCTTCCTTGCAGCCGGATCGCGAATAATGAGCTGATCTGTGACTGTCACCTGTCGTGGCTGGCGGAGTGGCTGCGCATGAGACCGAGGCTGGGGCTGTTCACGCGCTGTGCCGCCCCGGCGCTGCTGTCCAACGTGCACGTCGCTGAGCTCCAGAGAAACGAGTTCCTCTGCAACGGTTAGTAACAACTTAGTTTTCTGTGTGAGGCTTAAAAAGTCTACTTAAGAAAAGTATGGTCCATGATAATTTTCTTGAAGCTCCATACTTTTCCAGATGGACCCCATCAATAACAGGTTGAATGATGGAAAATGTTTTTTACCCCACCACTGGCCTAGCCCCCCCCCCACAAATTTGATTGTGAATTGTCAGGGAGTAACTGAAGCCTAACTGAACCCACTGAGTCCTGAGACTTGTCATAAGGTAACACAAAGAAGGAATCTCCCAGCTCTAACCTCCTGTGCTTTCTTGTTGCGGTTGACTGGCCATCCCTTTTACTTGCCTGTGTTTGGCAGGTATTAAAACTGTTGTTATCAGTGATATGTTAGCAGACTGAGCTGGCATGACCACTGAGTTACAAGCTCCAGTCTGACCTACGACCTTCTGACTTCAAACCTGATGTCCTTGAATTACACCCTGCAATAAGTGAAAGTGAATACCATGCACTGGAGTACTCAGTGAAAAGTGAAAGTGAATTACACAGTGCATGTAGAGACATGAAATGGACTTCAGGTTTCTGCATAAACAACATCATATTGACCCCTGGGACCCAGAGGAATTGAAGTATTCCAAAATAACTGTATTAAACTGAAACAGTAGTCCTGACAAGGGAATTTGTCCCCCTCCTGGGCTTTTCCTACAGTGTGGTCTGCCCAGAATTGACAGGGTTTGGTAGAGAAGAATTCCCACTGGCCTGGCCTGTGCTACATGAACCACCTGAAGGTGTGGGAAGGATTGGAAATTATAATCAAGTGTGACAAATGAGACAAATGTGTCCCACCCCCTCTTAATGCTTCATTTTGGGAATACAGTATAACATTACATGTAAGCCAGGCAAATTGAAACAACCTTCTTGTCCATTGCATTGGTGTGGAAAGCAGGTTTTGTTAAAGCACAGATGTGTAAATTTCTCAGCCATGAAAGCCTTTAGTTTTTGACTGTCAGCCAGACCAGTGGGAGTAACTGCTGGGAGGCTCTACTCAGCATGATTTCTTTCATAGCTCAAATTCAACATCTTCATGGGATGACCTACATTAGCTGACAAGTTGTTAAGATAAACATTCAGATTTTCAAGAATCTAATCTTTTGGGGCTCTTTTAATTTCCTATACCATTCCTGAGCTTAGAAATATAACGCTCATCATGCACAGCAAAGATCTACAGTAACTGACCCATGTTGTCAGCTTCACTGTGGCAGTTCTTACATGTCTGTCTGTCTGCTGCTCTGAGTAGAAAGCAGAGCTTCACAGTTTTCTATTCTGTGTGTAAATTGAAATTGAAACTTTGGCATTTCCATCTGTCTACACCTGCCTGAACTACCTGAGGAAGCCCTGCGAGTTGTATGGTTCTTCAAGGAACAATGGTGGGCATCCTTATTAAAACTGCTGGTGTAAATCCAATTACATAAACGATTTGTCTCCCGTAAGTTGTACCAGCCCAGGGGCAGGTTGGTAGAGAAGGCGCTGAAGGGGAGGTGTTTATCACTCAGCCTTGTGTCAGCTGATTTATGTTGGAAGCACTGGGGTCAGGAGGTGCCCAATTACTTTACTAAGGAATGATGGATCTTCAACTTGGGGCTGCCTGATTGGAAAGCCACTTCAGTGGTAGTGCACTCAGGGGAATGGCTGACAAGATTGCATTTTCAGTTCATCAGAAACTTGGGAGCTTTTAAAGATTGTCCAGTATTCATCTTTTTTTGTGATTAAACTAGGCTCCTAATGCTATTGAAGAGGGGGAGCAGACAGTGATTTAGAGACACACTCTGAGGCTTATGCACTTCCTCTGCATAACTTTATTGCCATTTTCAGTCCCTTGAAAGAAAATCTACAAAACATGGGCTCACATTCATGTACAACAAAATTTTTGTACACAAACAGCTGAAGTGTGGAGGCCATGAAGATATTTCATCTTCAGTCTTTGCCAAGCTGCTGCAAGTTTTGGAAGGTTTCTGATGTAGAGTTGAAAAGTGAACATGAACTGCCCCTGCTCTGATATACAGGAAAGGTTATATTTTGGACAGTGACAAAACAGAAAATGATGGGAACCCTGATTGGAGATGATTCTTTGGGGTTATGAGGGCGGGAGGGCCAGTTGTTTGAGTAGAGGTGATCAGGAGTGGGAGGGGTGCAGGGCTCAGCTGTGGTACAGCCAATGATGGGTGCAGCAGGTGTGCAGGAAAGAGGGTCTGCATGGGGGGATCCTGGCAATGCTTTATGGTAAATTTAGCAAGGTTGGCAACACTTACATTAAATTCAGGAGGACCAGCACTGCTTAATGGTAAATTGACTTGTTCTTGTGAAAGGTTTTGGTAACAAGTTCATTGGATTAAACTAGCTGGCTGCACTTCAGGAAAAAAGGCATGCAGACCCTCAGGGAATGCAGGTTCAGCCAGACTGGAGCAGTGAGGTCATGTCTGTGCCTCCGTCCAAGGTTGCCAAAACCACAGACAAAAGTCATCACTTATAACTTGATGATGGGATTGGAAATACTGATAATTAGAGCGGTGGGCAAAGTGGGTGGGATAACCACAACCAAACTAAAATAGATGTCCAAAAGAGATGATGGCAAAATTGATAATTCAAAGCTATTAGTGATAGGGTATGGAACATTTAAATATCCTACAAATGTTGTTGACCTTTTACTACCATGTGCCCTTAAGTAGGATGGTTTTAATATTACTGATGTTCTTTAATTCTAAAGATAGGTTACCATGTAGTAGGATCCTATGTTTTGATCCTGTGTCTGATACATCAGAGTCAGAATCACAGCTGTACTGTCATGCTACTGCAGTGGTGGCTTCATAACGTTGACCCCAATTTTCCTCCTCATCCAGCTGTGAGGTCATATTTCCCTGTCACTCCATAAAGGTCATCTCCATGTCACAAATTGCTCCATAATTCTCTGGTCTGACAGTGATGTGATGTCCATGAGTTATCACTCTTATAGTGAGGTCAAAAATTAGGTGATGCAGGTTCTTTGCATGGAAAAATGACATTGTTTAACTTAAAATTTATCATTTAGTGAAGTAGTAAAAACTCAGCTGCCTTGCTTATGTTCAGTATGCATTCAATGCTTGGCATGCTATCTGGACATACATTTGTTAACCATTGTTTATAGATATTTTTGTTTTTAATATTCATGATATTGTTGTTTTGAACTTCATCCACAACTATTGCGGTTTGATTATGATGATGTTCAGTAAATATGAGAATTAACAGTGAATGATATCAAATTACATGTTCCATGTCCTTGGTGACATACTGTAATAGGATATAACATGCTTCAGCCAACCCCCAAGGTCAGACAAAAGGAACTTCATCCTTGGGAAAGCATTCATAACATTTACCCTTATATTACTGGTACAAACATGGTTTTGCCCTGAAGTAGCTCCCAGCAGTACTACAGCACTACATTCTTCCTTGTCAGCAAAGACATTAAGTTTTCTATTGTCCACTCAGGTGACATCAAACAATATTCTAATTTTGAGAAGAATAATTTTAGGTAATTAGAAGAAATATTTGATGAAAAGAAGAAAGTTGACCAGCTTTTTAAAAGCCTGTACATGCTGGGAGACAAAGTTAGCTCAGTAACAAACTTTCTGAAGGAAATTCTTAACATGTAAATCTCAGTGGGCAATTCTATTTAGGTCAGGCAGAGCCAGTGGGAGACTGAATCTCTGGATAACTCTCTCTGACTGTAGGACAGGCTGGAGGGTACAGGTCAGATTAGGATGAAAAGAGGTTAATGCCCTCTCACAATAAATCTACTTGAAATCAACAGGGCACAAAATGACATGAAACTGAACAGTTTTAACAGCTGGAAGTTACTTTCTTAGTTTTGTCCAATTTGTGCCCTCATGTAACCCTATCTATCCCTGTTTCCTTTTTTTTCAGGAAAAAAAAATTGTTAGATTTACTACCTAGCTAGGCAGACATTGTCTAAGGTTATATGACATTATACTACTGGTACTTGCTCTTGGCCGTTTGAGACCAGAAGCGGTGTTGGTTGTCCCACACTGAGGCTCAAGGACAAGTTATGCTCCAGATGGTTTGAAAGGATATTTACAGAAGTGTGCCTTAAGTACATATTTGCCCTTCACCTTTCCGCCAGGTGGGCTGGACACACCTGTTTTTTTTTCAGGTGATTTCTGGAGTTCTGGTCGGGTTATTCTCAATACAAAACAGTTCAGATCTACAGAAGACAGTAATGTTGTGTAAGAAGGTCTTTAAAATACAGTCTTAATCCAGATGCAGACATATATTCTTCCAAGTACTTGCATTGCTCTGTTTAATACTGTACACATCTGTCTGGGGAAAGGCAATGAAAAAATTTTAAAAGAAGGACAAAAATGTTTTGCTTTAAATGTTTAATAAAATTAAATAGAAGTGACATAGTATGCCCAGAAAATGGTTCACATAACAATGTTGTTGACATTGAACTGAAAACAACTTGACTGCAGCTTTTGAAGGTGAAAATTTTTCTGGAACAAAACGAGGGCTGTTTGCAGACACCTTAACAGGTGTACACATGGATTTTGTCTTGTTTGCCCTTAAAGATAAGGTACTTTGACTTGGTCATAAAATGTAAACTTTATACAGCAGGGGTCACGTATGAGTTGATTGTTTTTGTACATCAGCACAGTTGATTGTTTGTACTTGAACACCTGACACTTTACATAATACCTGCACAGGTGTGTAAGACTCTATCTAAGCAGACTGCAAACATACTAAATTTATCCAAAAACATGTGTAACTTGTAAATTTGCGTAGTTGTGACGACCCTTTGTCAATAGGCTCATTTTGTGTTGCATGTTGACTTGGTTTGTTTGTTTTATTTTGTGGGTAAGTCAGTGGCACAGGTGTGTTGGTATTACATAGAGGAGGTGTTCAGACTCCATTTATAACCCACGGCCAATGTGCAGAGAATCATGGGTTGCTTATAACACACCTGGGCATATTTGTCTTTAATTTACCTGTACAATAATCGCACAGGTGTGGGAACACTCCAACTCCCAAACCACGTAACCTCGCATGTATAGGAGATGCTTGGTCACAATTGTTTACATTCTCATCCTCCTTTTTCTCTCCAGTTTGCTTAGATGATTTTCTCATTGACGTCATTCAGGCACCCTGGGGGGGTGCATAGTTGATGCCATGTGAAAGCACATGTTTTGGTTCTTTTTTCTCAACAATGTGCAAGTGGCATGCATGAGTGAAAAAAAAAGTCAAAGGGAAAGTGAATGTCATCAAGATAACTCTCCCACAGGTCTCACCTTGTCCGTTTCCTGCCAGGTGGGGTGGGGTGTGTATGGGAGGGTCTTACACTACCAAATCCAGAATGGGTGAAAAAGCACTGGCCATGGGTTTTTTTGCGTAAATCTGCGTACTTTTCTGGGAATCTGGGTGAATTTCCAAGGTGCCATTTGCTATTGTTTCCATGTAAATATACTGGGTGAAAATGAAAATTGCACCTATATGACAAAACGGTGAATTCCGGGTGAATTCAAGGTTTCACCCATTGTAAAACAAACAGCAATTTACTAGTGCTAAGATGACTAGTACGCTGGCTGTTTTTCATGGGTTGAATATTGAGCTGACCGCTAATGGCACTCGTGTGCTGGCACTCGTTGTTCTCTACGTAGTTATGTTCTCCTACCTTTCCGGACCTGTGCCAATCCCATGGCTGTTTACTAGTACATGTATGAGGAATATGTGTCTGGCTGCAGCAATACACGGGAACAAGAAGGTAAAATACAAGATTTTAAACCTTCTTGGTGGAAACCACTTCAAAAAGTTGACTTGGGCCGTTGGGGCCAAGTTGACTGGGCCGAGTTGGTAATGGTCTTGAGTCTTCCGACATTCATATAAATTGATTTCATTTCAATCGCGGTTTTGAAATTGTAAGATAAGTTTGAAAGTCATTCACTGTTGACAATAATATTGTGTCTGACTTTGGGGGTACCAAGGACGTTCAACACAAGTGTTGTGAACGTCCTTGGGGGTACATAATGAAATGCTGCTACAGGACCATTCATAATGTTGTCATTGGAATGGTAATTTGCATACAGGAACAATAGCCTTTCATATATGTTGTCATTGGAATGTTGAATTTGCATACAGGAACAATAGCCTTTCGCACCTTGACCTGCATGACAATATGAATAAATTACAGCTTCTCCAAAAGTGGTGAACGTTTTGATGAGGATTTTCAAAGTGAAAATCATATTTTTTTGGCAATTTATAATACAGAGTGCAATTTTTGGCAATTTTTAACCCATGATTTGGGAGTAACCTAACTCATGTTGCGATTCTTATGTGGTATACGCCACAAATTGAATTTCAAGACATTGGCAATGAATCAGGCTCCATCATAAGATTGTAAACTCCACTTGACTGAAAAATGTATCGAAGGGATATCGCCCCGGGTCAGTGTTTGGTTCATACTATAATTATAGGGTTGAACGTCCTATGTGTAGATCAATCTATGCAAAGAACACAGAATCCAAGGCAACACAGGGTGGTAAAGCTTGTAAATTCATTTCAACCATGGAGGTTCTTCCACTTTACTGTTAACATGTGTTTACATGTACTTTGGAGTTGTGAGGATTTTCAACCGACTAGGTAACAAATCTTCAAAATCCAGTACTCACTCAAAGACTGCCAGTCAGCACTGCGACATTATGAGGCATGTGCCTGTGCAGTTTATGACACCTATTACCAGAGGTGTTCAATAAGATGTTCATTTCAATAAGATGGGTGAATCTGGGTGAATTTTCCATTGTAATCGGGTGCAAAGTAAACACTGGAAAATTCACCCATTCCTTGCATAATCTGGTCATAATGCACAAAATTTCACCCATTGCAAAGAAAACAACAAATGGGTGATTTTTATTGAGAACAATGGAAATCACCCAAAAGTACGCAGATTCCCGCAAAAAAACCCATGGCCAGTGCTTATTCACCCATTCTGGATTTGGTAGTGTTACAGGTGTTTCCAGAACTACAAACATTTATGCTGCTATGCAAATGTTGGTTAGTAATGACATCTAAGGTAAACCGGATGGTATGTGAGTTGGACAGTGATACACTTTATGTACTGCTGTTTACCTTTCCAAGCCCATGACTCAGGTGTTCAGACAATACAATATGATATGTTTGTTTTCTGTGAAATGCTTGTGCTTGATGTGGGTGTCATGGGAGCTTACAACCATCCCAAAAGAAGTCTATAAATAGGTACAGATCAGTCTGATATAATTTCACATTATAGATGACTCTACAGTTGAAACATTCTGTGCTGTAAAAGCTGTTTTGCTTCCTGTTGTTTCCTCCTGACTGCAGTACATGGCTGTGCTGGTCTCCACAAAGGCGCCGTTTGTAAGTGATACAACTGGTCATCCTGCCCCCCTCCCATCAGAGTGGGATGACCCTTTGTGTCCTTGTAAACATTTCTGTCTGTGGCATGTTGCTTTCTGTCTTGTGTAGTTTTTATTTACTCAAACTACTGCACAATAGTCATGCTTCTCCATACCTGAGTAATAACACTGACCAATTAGTTAGGCATGGGCTTGATCAGCCAACCAGTGGCACTAATATAACCTGTCAGCCTCGGAGTGACCCATGCCTCCAGCAATTCAAGAGACACTGCTTTCACTACCAGACCAGGTTGTTCAGACCTCAAGCTGAATTATCATAGGATGATCCCTTACAAATGAAGTCTTGCTCATATCTGTGACATGTGGTTTTGATGCATTCAACACTTAAATTAGAACCTTAATAAGTTTACCATGGCTGTACATACAATGTATAACCAGCAATAAAATGACTGAATATCAACATTTGCATGTAACTGCAGCTAGCCAACAAGCTTCATGGCATTGTGACACGTTGAAGACATTAAGAAGAGCCTGTAGAAAACTGACTAAAGCTACAGACTGAAGTGTTTGCCATGATTACATGTGTATCCCCTCCCCGTTTGAGCCAGTGTGTAAAAAGTTTGCGTAAAAAAATATAATGTTGTGAAACTGCCTACCTGACTGCTAGCCTTTGTTCCAGGTGTGGAGGACCACCTGCCTAAGGAGTGTGTAGTTAACGAGATGTGTCCTGAGCTGTGCAGCTGTGCTGGCGGGATTGTGGACTGTAGAGACAAGGGTCTCCTGGGCATCCCCAACGACATCCCTGCCACTGCTACAGAACTGTAAGGGATTTATTTCTGTCAATTTGATTCCTGGCTATACAAATTTTGTGCTCTTGGGATAGGCACTGTACAAATGTACATGAGCTTTTCTCACTCCAGTTCATAAGGGAATTAATTTGTCAGTTAAAACTGTTTAGATACTGAGCCTGTCCAAAGGGCCAGGTGAAGACTAACTTGTCTGACTGTTTCCCATGTTTACAGGAGACTGGAACAGAACCAGATCAGAAGCATCCCCAGCAAGGCTTTTGCACAGTACAAGAAGCTCAGGAGAATGTAAGACCAAATGTCTTACTTTGTCTACTTCACTTGCATGTTTTGATGTGTTTATTTGCTTTTATAGCAATGATTTGATAGCGGCATGTCACATTCATCACTTCTTAAAACTATGTTTTGATAAAGGGAGAGTTTAGTAAACTTACTGTTTATTTTGTTGGTGTCATTGGTATCTTGAATGCATGCTTGATCTACTCACTTCGTTTTCTTTTGTTTCCCTTTTACTCCTACTACTTTATGCAACTGTTTCTACTGAACTGGAGTTGTTACAGTAACTGATGTTGTTTTTGCCTGCAACTTGTTCTCTAATCTTGACACTTGATTTTTTAACTGTTTGGGACAGTGCTGCATGTGCATTGTTCTGGAGATGATTTCTCTGTTGAAGCTAGTCTCCTAGACTAAAGAAAAAGAAATGTCTTCCCATGTGTACACTACCTGAGTCTCCTTCCAAGTGTGCTGGGTAACCACAGGAAGTGTACACACAGGAAGGCATGGTTTCAATAGCTCCCACCAGAGAACAATGCATGTGCATCGGAACCGTGGTCTAAGTTACACATTCTTTGACTTATTTGTGTAGCGCAGGCAAAAGTATCAGAATACTGCTTGAAACCACAACTATTTTGTATCCAATGATGCTGTTTGAACAACTCTTGATTTGAATCTGGAGCTTATGTGTTGTGTTTGATATAATCAAAGTAGGTAATGCATCCTGGGTGCTTTATGAGTGGATTTTTTTACATTGTATCAATGATCTGAAAAGCATGCAGTTTGTAAAATATCAGCCAGTGGTATGTAAAAACAAATAATACAAAATCTGCAAAGCGGTACGCTGAAGGCAATTACAAGATCAAACTGCATCCTATATATGTACATGTACAGTGCACACAGCACATAGATGACACCTGAAACAACTTTCAAGTCCAAATCACATCTAAAGTCTCACAGGCAGACTTCAAACAGTTGGCTACTTTTTCATGCCCAAAGTTAAAGTTTGAGAGCTCTATGTGTCCATGTACATACCAGCTCTGCTATGATCTACCTCCAGTTCTGACTGTTATTCCACTGTTTTCCCTGTTCGTCTTCCTCTTGCCCTTTCCAGAGATTTGAGCAACAATCAGATCTCTGAGATCGCTCCTGATGCTTTCGAAGGTCTCGACACTCTTAACTCCTTGTAAGTAAATATTTCTATGTATTGCATTCCCGACAGCATGATATACAACATGTTCTTAATGAATGTCATTGTTTTTTTCCCCACCCATTTATTTCCTGTAGAGACCTAAGCAACAATGAGATTTCAGACATCCACGAGGATGCATTTTATGGGTTGGGATATCTCAACTCGTTGTAAGTAGTGCTTGGGCATTTTGCTCTTCTCTGAGCTGCAGACTTTTCTGGGTAAAATGCTCATAGTACTATATAATAGTGTCTGGTGACAGACGCATTGGAGGCAGGTACTTGGCAGGTAGACACGAAAGTCTGTTTGCATGCCAGACTGTTTCCAGGGCCTACAAAGGCCAGCTCCTTGGATCTAGGGCCAACATGCACACAATGAAAATTTTACCATAGGACCTCCTCAACATCTAACTCAGAGAGGGCTGTGGTACAAGTTTCTTCTGGTACATGTTGGTTCTATAGCTGAGGAGCTGGCCTGTGTGGGCCCAGGAAACTGACATCCAGGCTATCAGTCACATATCCGGTGCTGGTTAAGATGTGAGATCTGTACCCCAAGGTGCATTTCTCTTCAGTGCCAAGCTCTGCCCTGCCAATGCTTCTGAGGCCAGACAGTAAATCCTCTAAACTCTGTTTCCTATCCTGTGCACAGATGGCTATAATGATAGTTGCACTTGTGGTTTGTAAACGTTAAGACTTAAAATTATATGGGGACACCTTGGTGTTGTTAACTGCTTGTAGAAGTTGTTATACTGTATACCTGGAATATTCTCTGCTTTTTTTCCTCTACATGTCTTTAAATGTAAATACATGTACATGTAATTGAGTTTGTTTAAACAATGAGTTTCATATTATTTTTTGAGAAATTTGATCTTTTCATTTTCCTTCAATCTATGCTGTGCAGTTCTATGTACGTATCTCCCATATAATAATGTGACCATGCTCTTTACCTAAAGGGTCTTGTATGGGAACAAGATTTCTACATTGCCTCCCAAAGTGTTCCATGGACTCTTCTCTCTCCAGTTGCTGTGAGTTCCCAGGTTTTGGTTCTTTCCAAGTTGCTTCCATGGAAGACATCCTTTCTACCTACTTCTTGGCTTTAAAAAAATCCAGAAAGACTTGCAAGAAATGCTCAGAAGTGCAAAATACAGATTTCTGTTGTATGTTGTATTTAGAACAATTCAACTTGAAAGTTGAGCACAAGACAATTGGATGTCACCCATAGAAACAACTTACTTCAGTTTCAATGGGATACGAAAGTGCTATGTTACATTAATCTTTATCTTTACTAAAGGACCTGATAAGTCTCATAAGTGATGGTACAGTAAGTTTATGATAACCATTAACAAGATTCACAAAAGTAAAATGCAATGTAGAACATCATACTTGTAGAACATGCATATGACAACAGAAACATAATTTTGTCAAAAAAAAAGAAAAAAAATGTTCCTAGTAGATAGGGCCAAGGACAAAGTCCTTGATAGGGCTTAAAGTTATCATGGCTTGATAGTCATTAGGTTATGTTTGCAACAATGTAACTGATGACTTCCACTGTTTTCAGGTTGCTGAATGCGAACAGAATTTCTTGCATACAGACTGATGCCTTCAAGGACCTCCATTCCTTGAACCTGCTGTAAGTCATTAATTCTTTCCTTCAAGACATTAAAAAGAAATGGCAGAAGTAGACACAGGCAAATTTTAATGTCCTTCTTTTTTACACACCTGCATCTGAGTGTGAAAATATGATAAACACATTCCACCAGGTAGGCATCCTACATGTAGTAATCCTCAGCACTCTACCTGAACTTGCATGCACCAGTTGAGCACTAGTACCCAGGTAAGGTTAAACAGTTTGACCTCTGACTGACCTCTGGGACTCAAATCCTGGATTGTTGCAAGGCTACTTGACAACAATTCTGATCAAAGAATCTCATAGTGACTCAGCATGGACCACAGCTGCTACATTAGCTGCACAGTTTTTCCCTGCAGAGTGCTCTCCCAGCCATCTGTACTGTGTACCTCTGGTCCAGGCGACACCAGGCAATGCCTTTTCCCCATGTGTTGCTTTGATAAGTTGTCAGCCATGTTTTAGGTTCAAGTTATCTTATCGGCCCCTGTCCGTCTCCCTCCTACATGTGGAAACAACTGCAGGAAGCCCTGACTTCTCCCTGACAGGCAGCAATCGGGGCTCATAAATCTGTTACCTTATTGATGCAGTATTTCCTGCTCCAGTCTCAAGTTGTCTCGCGAATAGAGAACAGGGATAACTCTCTCTCCTCTGATCTCTCCCAATTATACACACTCAAACTACTTGTATTTACAACTTTTACATGACTTACTGGGCCAATTAAGAAAATTGAGGTACCACAGACAAAAGTTGTCAGCACAAGGATTGAAATAAAAGATGACATGACTTGAAGACAAACAATTATTATTTTTTTAATTGTTTTGCAGGTCCCTGTATGACAACAGGATTGAAATGATCAGCAAGGGAACTTTTGATCCACTCAGGAACATCCAGACTCTGTAAGTTCTTCAAGTGTCTACTAGATATATACCCATAGGACTTAGTGTGAGTGTGTGTGTGTGTGTGTGTGTGTGAGAGTGAGTGAGTGAGTGAGTGAGCGAGCGAGTGAGCGAGCGAGTAAGGGAATGAATGAGTTAGAAATTGTATTTTGCTATAACAGTTGATGGTTGCAAGTTCCTGTCCAGAAACATTTTCAGGAGTCAATTTTAAATCCCTCCTGTCCTATTGAATGTACCCTGTATTATAATTTACATTCAGTACAGCTTCTACTTTTCTGGCTTTGATTAAGTATGTACACATGCTGGTATTGTGTTATGGAAACAGATATGTCCACATGAAAGGGACAGACCAGTTTATAGAGATCTGATCGGCTGCAGGAATAGTTTTTCCACAGACAACAGCCGTTTGCTATCAATCAGTCCTGGAGTCCTCAGGGCTTAAGAGAGTTTGTAAAGCATTCCCAAATAGGGCTCTCAGCATGGGCTAGGTCAAGTGCAAAGCCAAAATATCAAAACACTGGCAACAGGTCTTCAACAAATAGGGTGGGTCCACACGGTACACTGCACTGTAGTAGGCAGCTAAATGGTAACGCTAATATTAATAATCAAAATTACTGGTAAAGCAAACTTTTACACCAACCATTAATTGGAAAAGAGACATCATTCATGTACATGTATTCTGCTCACTAAGCCAGGCTATCAGTTATTTAAATTGTCATTTATGTGGCCACATTTATATCAAGTGCTGTATTCTAAAAAGCGAAGTACATTATGTATTCTAACAGTTGTAACTGAGTCTTTGGCAAGAGTGCTGCATTTAAGTAGTTTCCAACCTTCTGAACTGTAAAGATACACTGATATACATGTATGTGTGCCGCTCAAAGTTAAGTTCTGAGTAGCAGAGCAGATATAAATTCTCCTGCAGTTAGGGCCTCAGCAACTTCGCTGACTGCCAGGCAGTGTTTTCAGATTTAGTTATGTATTTATAGTTTCATTATAAGTTTTAGAAATACAGTTTTTCAATAGTCGTATGTTAAGTGTTTTGAACATTATAGTAGACAGTGGTTACCAAGCAATAGAAATACAACCCTAAATCTTCTGTTTGGGATATCAATCTGACACAAAACAAGATCACTTTCATAAGTGGAGTTGACATGTCCCCTCATGCTACAAAATGCTTGGATGGAAACATCCCGGAGGTAAATTCTTGTTCCTGACAGAGTGTTCCTGAAGTGGTGTGTAACAGGAAGGAATGGCAGGAAGTAAACAGGACGACCAGGAGCGATTTCTGTCCACAAGGAGGTCATTTCATGTGTACCCCTCCATCTCAACTCATCCTGCATTGAGCAACACTGTTTCAACTGTGTAGAAATCAATTAGCTGTGAATTTTAGGGAACAGGTGATGTTGTCAGCACTAGTTAAAGGCTATTGTGGTTCTACTGTGCCTGGTGTGTGGAGATGCCACTGGCTCCTGACCTGAGGTATTCAGAGGCTAAGTACTGGGACGTCTTGGGACATTACAAGCCTGTCTGTTCTGATAGGGGAGGCTGGTGGAACAGCACTCTGCACAGAGGAGAACAACTTTGACACGATGGGTCACTTTCATTTTGTCTCAAGGTAGTCCTACAGGCACAGAAAGCCTTCCCACCTGTCCCAGAGGGACTGAGTTATACCTGAGGTGGTTCTGTACAGGAAGCATTCATCAGTCCAGGACAGGTGATAGAGTTATCTCTGCTCTAAGGTCCCACCAGGAGACACCAGGAATGTTAAGCAGGGCTGAAAGCAGACAGATACAGTTTACAAGAGCTGTTGTTTTTGCTTCGAAATGTTCAGAATATGCTGCTAAAATGCAGACATTCCCTTTTGGACAGCCAACTTGATAGATTAACCTTCAACTAAGATGTTTTCCACCCAAGTTCTTAAAATTTTCTTAGGATTGGCTCTTTTTTTGGTTTTTCCTGTTTTTTCTCCATTTTCATTTACTGTGATTGGTTGTGACTGGTTGGTACTTTAGGATCTGTCTAGCCTGAGGGTAGAAGAGTAACAGTAATGAACTGTATCTTTGTGTTATTTCTCAATCTACCAGTTACTTTGAGCATATGTAAATCCACTCCTTTTGCAGTTCATTATAAAAGTCTTGGAATTGCACCAACATTTTCGTTATTTCAGTCCGCACAACCTTTTCCTTGACATCCAGAGGTTTATGCTTTCTCAGCTGGTGTAGTTGAAAATGTACATCAGCAGATACATAGATAACATCTTTTTAGAATACCTTAAAAATGCCTCCTTTCATTCAACTTTTACTCTGGCCATATACTGACTGTTGATACCTTTCGTTATTGTACACCTGGCAGTCCAAGAACAGGAAATGTAGGTGGGATATAGATGGGACTAGACCTTCCTTTGAACAGCCCCTAAGAATATTTTGTTTGTAGTAAGTACAAACTTACTTCATGTCAGGTGACATACCTATATGTGTGTGTAGGCCTCCCACATTACTGAAGTGGAACAGCTGGGAATGAAACTTTGTTAGAACTTAGATTGTTATCAGTAGAGCTTTCCCATTGGAAAGAGGAAGAGATGCCAAATGTCTACCTCTGGTATGATGTTCTATAGTCACACAATATTCCTTATGTTCTACATGTACCTGTATGTACTGACAGGTGAGTTTTTAGAAAAGCTAGTTGTAGGGCTGTGTGAGCCCCCTGGGACCCAAGCAAGCACGTGTGCTGAGATCAGTTCCATATGACTGGTAGGTAGGTCCTCACCTTAGAGTGCAGGGGAGCATGTGGAGTAAATCATGCCTGGGGGACAACAGGGGAGCAGGTCCTCATTACAGCTGTCACACCAAGGATAAGGATTAATACACAATACAGGATGAAGTCACCCCTGTTGTCTTTTCATTTTGATCCTGATGACAGGTGACTTCCTTTTGGCTGCCAGAATTTTCATAAAATGCAAACAATATGGGGGAGAAGTTGACATTATATCATTAATTCAGTAAAGGTGCTTTGAACCCCAAGATAGCCCCACGAATGGTGATGCCAAGACTTACATATGAAGCTCTATTCAAAATCAATACAGATTTGAAGGTCCTGACCTTGTCCTGACCTCTATTTTCTCCCCATCCTTCTGCTGTCCTATTCAATTCTGGTCCAAGTTTGCTGAAGGATCTCAGGAGAGGTGTTTCAGGGCCACCTTCATTATCAAGACCCCTTAATGAGATTACCCATAATCCCACGGTAAGAAGGGGATAGACAGACCAGCCTAGTCATGTCAAAGGTCAGAAAGATGGGATCCCAGAAGACTTCTACTCAAATATGAAGTCTAGACCCCAGACAGAAGCTATCATTCAGGCAAGTGCAAGATGTCAATGGGTTTTGAGTTGGAGCATCTGAGATGTCTCCATACTCATGTTGTGCTGTGATGTACCCAAGGTGGTCGTGCTTTTCCATTTTACAGTTGACAATGAAACTCTTGGGAGGCTTTAATCTGGACAAATCAAATTCTGCCTGACTTTGAAATGATAAAAGGTGAAGGTGCCCTCAGTCTGTGTCACTTAATATTTGTGTCAAGTGTATTACTGTGATATTGACTAAGGCTAAAACTGATTGGAACAGGGTAGAACCTCTTTAATGTCACAGGTCCACATAATTTTCCCTGGATATATTATCTGGGGATGGTACAGATTGCTTTGGAAAATGTCATAGCAAATGAAAGGAACCTATTTGCCCTTGACAGGAGTAGGTGATCAACTAGTGAAGGTTTGATTAGTTAGAGTAAACTTTGCATCAAGTTACTTCGATTTTTTAGAGTCTAAAATGGTAACTTTTTTTAAAATTCAAAATAAGTATTTTTGCTTTGTTAGAGGCTGAGTGAAGATTGTTGATATAACGGAAGACCATCTGTTGGCATGAATGTAATAGTCAAGATAGTAACAGCTTGGTTAAACTACATTACCCATGTCGTAACAGTTCAACAATGGCCAAGTTGTTTGAGTTGCTTTTCTTACCTTGTGTTTTATGGATGTTGCCAATACATTGTTTATTTTCCATGAAATACTAAGACCTTTGAAACATGTGTTTGGGCACGTAAGTATTTCCTGTCAGTCTGCTGATACTAGCCTGACAGTGTGGCCAGTTTTGTTGAGCTATAACATACTTCCTACGTGGCGGCATAGCAGCTGCAGTCTTTACAAGTCACACATGACTTCTTACCTAGAACAGTAAAACAGGCATAGACAAAGTAACACTATGTTGACCGAAACCATGCAAATTCATTTTCTCAAAACTGCCTGTAAATAATGAGACTTTCCCTTCAGACATGAGTTTTCATGTTGATCTTTCGGTTCAGCATTGTTTTTTCTTTTAATTCCAAGAACCAAGAAATTGAATCAGTGTGGCCTATAGGGGCCAAAATAATACATCAGTCTACAGATTATCACCTTACATATCCATTAGGAACCCTCCACTATAGGATGGTGTACCTAAATAGACAACAGTCTATCCTCCACTCACAGAGAGATTAATGGAGTTGATCCCCTAATCCCTTCATTCAACCAAGTAAGAATTGACTCAACCAGATGTTTCTGTATCAGGACAATTTCAGGAAAATTGATCTAGGATTGTGTATAATCTGCCTAAAAACCTTGCAACTACTTGCCATATTCCCATAAAGTCCTTGCACTCATTGAGAGGCAATGTAAAAACCATGGTTTGATGGATTAGTAGGTTGATCTGTGATAATTAGAGACTGATTTCTGGGCAAGTGAAGTCAGGTTATGATGGGTGTGGATTTCAGTGCAGGGGCTTTGGTACCAAAATTGTGTTGGTTATGGGGTTAGGTGAGGAGCAGGGAGAAGGTAATACACTGTCATTTCCAAACATGAAAGAATACATAATTATACAAACAACTAATACTGAGGATTTACTAGACAGCCAGACATGTTTTTGGTGCAATTTGCTGTTGCAATAAAGGTTTACAGTAGCCAGCTGCAGGTGTGTTGTGGTCAGGTATTTATAGAAGCTGTTTATCCAGGGTGCTTCAGGGCACTCATGGGTCCCTTACAGCTTCAGGTAGCCCTAAAATTAGCGGTTAGAAGGCTGGATAAACAAGACATCATCCCAGACCTCTGCACTAGGACTCTTCACTAATTACAGCCTAATTGACCTGCTCGTTATGGTGTTTATTTAAGAAAATCGGAGAAGATGACTCGTGTCAGGATGTTATTTTTGTTTGCACTGCAGTCAGTTGTAATTGGGTTACCTCTAGTCGGTGCAGTGTTGTGATAGTGACCATACATTTATAATCAGTGGGAGGCCATGAAAGATAATCTGCCCCCATGCACAACCTTTACATCTTTATAGTGACACCACATGACGGACAACAACCACCCCCCACTGGCTTGTGGTCTGCAGTTATTCGATGACCTCAGCTTGGGACAGAGGCTGTACAACATCTTTACATCTTTATAATGACCCCCCCTCCTCTGGCTTGCGGTCTGGCATTATTTGACGACCTCAGCTTGTGATGAAGCTGTAGAAGTGTTTGCAGGTCCCCTACAGTCAACAGTCCGCTGCACCACAGCAGTTCACGCTGTGTTTACTCATGGCCCAGCTTTCATCTCAAACGACTTCAAAGGCATGGATGGAACGGCCGTCCTCTTTATGGTGCCTCCGTGCTTGTCAGGAGATGAGGAGGAGCTACTAGTGTTTTCTCCAGATGCATGTTTGTCAGCCCCCTTTCCACTACATGAAGATCGCTGAGCGACCAAAATTGGATTTATGTGATCCTTGGTTTTATAATTACCAGTGTGCATGATGTTTGAGTATGATTTAAAAGACAATAAAGAATACAAAACGTTAAAAAATTGTTCTTTATCTATTGAATTGATTGAGTGATTTGTCAATATATAAATTTGGCCCTGTTCTGCACTCTATTCTTCTCACTCCCTAGTGGTTCAGGTTCTAATTGGAACCATAGAAAGGTGGACAGTCCTGAGCTGGAGGCATACCTGGGAGATTAACTACCTTCTCCAACAGGAAGCCAAATATTTTCACAAGATGCAGGAGTGTGGGGAAGGTGAATGGGTGAGAAAACTTGGATACAGTTCACCAGGTCTGGAGCAAGGAGGAACAACTGTTGGGGCAGGCCTGGCTTTCCTCCAGGGGCAACAAGCTGATATGAACACTCAAGCTTCCCACTGGTGGACATCATCCCTGCAGATGTTCATGGGACTAGACTTTCTTTCATATACTTGCCAGTACAAATGTCGACTTCAAACCAGTATTTGATCAAGTCGTAATATAAATCTCAGTCAATACACATTCTGAACATCAAAGCAATGGCCACAACATAAGCAGCAACATCTGTACCTGAAATGGTTCTAAATGTAGAAACCTGGTGTAACTGCATCACCCCCCTCCCTCATCCCTCATCACTCACAAGTGGACAGATGCAGGTAGCAAGTATGTCTTTAATTACTTCTGATGGCATCCATAAGTCAATAAGAAGCTTCTACAGAGACAAGCCATGTGGGGTCAACAGTCAAGGGCATAAGTAAGGTGACCTGCCAAGATCGATCTGTAAAGACATGCTTTCAAACTCCTAATGTATACAGAGAGTTTCAGTGGTGGAAACTTCTTGAACCTGTTCCAGTTGAAACTACCTTTCAGTTTAGGATGATGTTAGAAATGGAACTGAAAATTTTCCTTTGACTTTCAGACATGTATTACTATGCCCGCAGTCAGGTACATTATGAATCGTGATGTCCTGTTAATCAAGTAGGACTGAAATATAAGAAGTGTAAAAAGTTCAACAGGGAATAGAGATATCATCCTGTTCCCCTCCTCCATGTGTTCCCCAGACTGTGTTGGCGTATAAATGACAGACTACGTGCCAGTAGTAAATCCAGCACACTTCTCTGCCTGTGGGCTCACCCTGCTTGTCAAGCTTTCCTTCTTGTCATCTTCCGTTATGGATTAAACTCATCACCTCAGAGGAAGCAGACCTCCCCACACTCTCCAGTCCTCCCCCAGATTTTCTCCATGTCTCCCTCCATCCCTTTATCACCTGCATCTGTTTTGTATAACTTTCTGTGAACCTGATTGAAAATTCTCACATGCAGCTTTTTTGCTGCCAACGAAGGAAAGTGTTACCAAGTAAATATTACAAGTCTGAATTTAGAATTTGTTTTTTAATCAAACTCCACATTGTTATCATACATCCTGTATTTAGAAATAAATTTGTCATTAATAAGATTTCCCTTGCGACATAATGCTCTGTTGGAAAGACAAGGATGGCAAAGAAGTGCCACCTGTCTGTTACACATGGTACTGCTAAAAGAGATGAAAATTACATGCTCTATTCATGATTGCTCTGCCTTCTAGACACTTACATTTCCTCACTTGAATATTCATGCTTGCAGCATACAAGTAGAAATATGTAACACAGTGTCAAGTACAGAATATCAGTTGCACAATGTATAGCAGAATAGTGTTATTGTTACTCAAATTGACAGTAATCAAGATATTTGCTTGTGTACTGTGTTTGTTTTTGTGTGGTTAGTTCTGAAGAAAGTAAACCATATTCAGATGATGTAAGGAAAGTAACATTGGCCCAATTTTCCATTTTTACAAGAACACTCAATTGATTTCCATTGATTGAACACCAGAAGAAAGGGCACATCACATTCAGTAATTCTGTCCATTGTCTCACTCTACCATCCCTTTGTCATTTAATTAACAGCAAATAGGGAAGAAATTAACAGCTCTTTGCCTGCAGAAGTGTGTGGCCATTTCCTGTGTTTGTTTCTTCCTGCTGGGGTGATTACGCGCCCTGCTGGATATACAAACAAACACTGAGGAGGTGCTAATGAGCTATTGGTGCTCAACAGGCCGTGAAATCTGCCTACACCATATAGAAGTCACTTCTGTAAAAGGGTTGCACATCCTGGGTATTACAGGTCATGAACAGTGGACACAACTTGTGTGCTCAGCAAGATTGTTTATAGCTAAAAGGTTTAGAGTATTTTGAAGCTTAGATTTTTCCTCTACTTCTCTGTAACAGTCTGTCTGTGTTTATGTATTCTAGGAATACTGGTTCTTACATGCACATTCTTTATAAAAGGTTCAATTGATTTTAATTTCACGTGGAAAAGGACAAGTCAGTATCCCCCATGTCCTGGTAGGTGGGCTTTGTGTGTGGTGGATGATGGATAGGTGAATGGGGAAACAAGTCTTGTCTGTAAATGCCACAAGCTGGAAAAATCCCCCTTTGGCAGTCATACAAAGTCCTTCTATCCTGCGCCCTGCAGAGCTTGTTTTTGTAGCCCAGCCTAGTTAACCTGGGAGGTGAGGAGGGTCCTCTGAGGTTGGACCAGTTGAGGCTCCCATGACTAAACATACAGGACTAGAGTGCTGACAGAGGACAGGCCAGTCTAGTGAGACACTCCAACTGTAGCCTTCCCCAGGAGGGCTATAGGATGGCAAACAGGGCTAGCCTGATTAAATCATGCTTATATCCAATGTCCAACTTCGGTCGTGGAAGATCCAAAATTCTAAAATTTTCTACAAACACTGCATTCAACAAATTCACAGTTATCATGATTATGGAGCTCTATCAACTTTTTATTATTAATTATTTTATACAATTCAAATATTCAAAGGACTGATAAAACTCAATAAGGCAGTTTTATAAATCAGCAGTTAGGTGCGAAACCATTTTGAGACAGCTCTTATAATCCATCAACAGGAGTCATGTTGCTTGAGTCCTGGTGTTCTTACCTGACAAGTGACTGAAATGTTACACTGTAGCGGCAACAGAAACACCTCGCCCCACGGGCCTACTCTTACCCCACATGTCTCTCAGCGGAGACTCATTACATGGCTGTAAAAGTGGAGAGTGTAGAGATGTAAGGATTACTAAGGGAGCAGGAGGGATGATAGATTCAGTCTCAACAATAATAAATATTTGTGACCATGTCAGCTGTCATGTTGCAAGCCTCTGTGGATACTGGTGATCCTTCCTCTTCCATCAAACTGTTACAAGACAGAAGAACTGAGGTTGTATAACCTTGACCCTTGGAAAGAACTGTTCTTCAGGATCATATTCTCACCTGCTGACATGTAACAGTAAACAAGACAAGTTTGATACAGGGCAGAACTTTTTGGTTGTGCTGTTTTCTGATTGTACATATTTGTCAAAATTCTGAATGGCACCAGTATTTTTATTGTACATGTTTGTCATAACTCTGACTGGTCTTTCTGAACTGAGTATATGACTTGATGTTTTTTTGTGTTTATGCAGCCATCTTGCCCAGAACCCCTTCATGTGTGACTGCAACCTGCGCTGGCTGGCCCAGTACCTGCAGGACAACCCCATCGAGACCAGCGGCGCCCGCTGCGTCATGCCCCGCAGACTGTCTCGGAAACGCATCAGCCAGATCAAAGTGCACAAGTTCCGATGCAGCATGCGGGAGGGTAAGCAGATGTCAAATTATAGTCATTATTTCTTAATAGGAAGTGATGTGATCACACTTTCTGCACACATGGTTTGAAAGTCTGAGGTCACAGGTTCGAATCCCAGACCCCCAGCTGTGACATGACAGGCTCATGTCTTCTCTTCTAACAATCCTGATAACCTGTATTTAAAGCCTACGAAGAAAAGGTGGACATAATCCCCTCCATTACCCTGGGGTGGTAGAACCATTATCATATGGCACAGCAGACATTGTGTCTACTCTAACCACACTCATTACTCATTCACAGACTCCTCCTTTTACACTCACTCTTCTGTACATACCTGCTGGATGAAGTCAGATTAGGGGATCACATGAGTCATGTATACAGAGATGAACTGTTCATCACTAAATGCCCTGAGTTGACAATATGATATAATTATTAATAAAATATAAACATCAATATGTCAAGTTAAATATTCAAGTTAATTTGAGATGACAGGATAACAGGATATGGTCAGTTTTCACCTACCCCCCCTTCTCAAACTTGGGCCAATTGTAGGTCTCATATCTCCCACAGCTAGAGAGAATGTTGGAGTGCGGAAAGGTTCTGGGCAGTGCAAGGTGGACGATGACTGTCCTGACCGCTGCATCTGTGAGGGAACCGTGGTGGACTGCACCAACCGCAAACTGGACAGTGTACCAGACGTTATACCATCATACGCCACTGAACTGTGAGTGGAACCTTTCTGTACCGTTTTGTTTTCACAAGACTACTTGCACACTGTCTACTGATAATGCAAATGCTGCTGTCTTCATCCCAGTTCCATATCTTCTATAAACCATGCCACCATCTTTCCACAGTCTGTTGGGAGAGAACGAGATAGTGAAGGTGCACGCGTCCGGCATCTTTAAGAAACTGCCCAACCTCAGGAAGATGTAAGTAAAGACAGTCTTGATCAATCACAAACATGTCAAGTCCGATATGCAACAGACATGGCAACAACATGCATGTATCCAGTCAATAATACATTAATTTTGTACCTGTCCCTTGATAGTATCATCTATAAAATTGACTATTCACTCCTGACTTGTGTATAATTTTTTTTCAGAGACCTACGAAACAATAAGATTGTGGAGATTGAGGATGATGCTTTTGTTGGAGCTGATGGTGTCACAGAACTGTGAGTTGTCAGGATACCTACTATACAATCTCAATACACTTTATGCTAATATTAGCTATTATATGCAACATCCTAGTATAGATATGCATTGAGGATATTTTTCTTTAAGTATTTCCTCCACTGGTGCATGAATGGTTTTGATCTGTTGTGTGTGGGGTAAATTTTAAATTGTGAAAGATTGCTAAGAATACTCCATTCAAATGTAGTCATTCACATTCTGTGTATCAACATTATTCATGTATAACAATGTTTTTAAGTCAATTTGAAGAAGTCAAGTCATCCATGATAATGTTTTACATTGTAATTTCCTTTAGTTTGTAAGATGTATAACTTTGCAGTCAGTGACGTGTTATTGTCACTTATTGTCAATATAAAAGGTTGTTTGATAAGGTACTTTTTTCTCCTGGAGTTGGCATTTAAACATCTCTTTGTGATCACTGTAACTTACGAGGCTGAGCAGACAAGTCAAACAAGAAAATGTGAATTCTGAGACCATGTCATAACACTGTATTTCTAACCATGGCAAACAGTTTTGACCTATGACATGAAGTGACACACAAACAGTTCACCAAAGCTTTCTAAGCGTGTGTCTTATGCTACCAAATTAAAAGACCTAATGTTTGTGCTGATGTTTGCCAACTCATCAATTGCTTGCACTGTTTTATCTGACACAGAGTTTCCTACCGTCTTTTGCCACCATCATGTACAGCTTAAAACTGGGAACAGAAAAAAATAGCAGGAAAAATGGTGTATACAATGTACATGTACAAACATGTAGACCAAATAAATGCTTTTAAAAGCTTACGAAAATCTTCAGACTGTTTGTTGTAAGGGAAAAGTTTGCTTTCTGTAAAAGCCTAAAAACTGACATTTCAAAAGTCTTACAGCAGGGTGTGAAGTTATGGTGGCAAAAGAACAAGGAAGTCTGAGAAAACCCTTCAGTATTAACCGGAGAGGTTGGGGTGGAAGTGCCTGTTTTCTCAGCCTCAGCTCATTCGTGCCTCTGTTTTATCGTTCCAAGGCTGCTGACAGATAACAAGCTGGCGGCCGTGAATGGGTCCATGTTTAATGGACTGACTGGCTTGAAATCACTGTAAGCCTGCACTGTGCTCGCACTTTTCCTAGTTTTAGTTTTTTTCCATAAATTTTTTCCTATTTTGATTTGTCTTAGTGTTTGTTGTTACAACGTTGGTTTTGTCTTGCTGCATTCCTTATACTGTACTAAGAACCTTGTAGTTGAAGCATTCTTTCTAATGCCTTGCTTTATAAAAAAAAAGATTTGATCATCTGATTACCACTCTTTACAATGGAAGCACACGGTATGAAGTGATAACTAAATTGCACACTTAAGTGTCTCACCAATATGTCACAGCATTTCCAAATGCATGAACATAAAACTGAATTTGATGCACCAACTTTGACAAAAAATCACATTGTTTTGCCCAGTTGCCCACTAAACCACATGCCATTGCTTTGTACAACTTGACAATGCAAAATGACAACTGCTTGCATGCTATACCACATCACCATCTAATTGTATCATAAAATTGTTTTACTTTTTTCCATACTCCTTACATTCAACCTCTTTTACATACATGTATCTTAGCTGTCAAGCTTCTCTGCCCCTCATCACTGTCCCATCCATTCATTCCTGTACAGTACCAGGAATGAATAGTAACTACATGTACTAGTAAATCTAACCTCAGTGTCACACCACGCATTCAGCAATACAGAACTTATATAGGAGCTGAGATTTCAGTATTGGAATCCAGTCCTGTCCTCACACACATTTCTTTTGACTGGATTAATCCATGTCTCGAGACAGACACAACATCTTCTCTACTGGTTGAAGTTGCTGTGCCTGTCTCACATATGTGTAGATGTCTTTTCCTTAGTCACAGTTGAATTGATCATGTAACTGTCGATTTGTCATGTTTCTAACCATTCCCCTGGTCTCATTCCTCTCCACAGCCAGGCTTTCCCTTGTGATGCAGCAATAAACTTAGATTGCTGCTTCTTCATATTTCTAACAACCAAGTTTCCCTGTTTGTTTCTAACCTATTCTTACCTGATTATTGCTGGAGTGGTAGTTGTACGACATACATACCCAGTACTGCTTCGGTAGTAATTGAATAAGAAGGGTTTGTCCTTATAATTAAGATCTTTTAATTTTCTGCCTGTCTCCTCTAGATGAGTTTGAGTTCTTTCATTGAGCTGTTGTAGTTCCATGGGAGAGCTGAAACTTTAGAATTTTTTTGTTGACATTGCAGCAACTTTTGTCCAATCCATGTACATCTGCATATGGCCTACAAATGTATCTTATATGTTCCTAACATATATGTTGTCCTTGAAGTTTGGAGAGTTCTTTATACTTATTAGATGGTTTTCCTATGTGTTCTTTAGTTTACTAATACCAATTTTGTTTCGTACAACAGTTCTTAATGTCACTTGTAGGAAATTAACTTAGGTTGTAGCTCTTTTCCCAGATAAGTAGGAAGAGACTCTTTGTGTGATTCTATATTTCTCACCTCATTATCTCACTAACATCTCAATGTTTGTTTTGGCTTAGAAGTGCATAATCATCACACCAAAACAGTGGAATACAAAGGAATTCCATAAAGTTATGGTGTCACACAGCAGTTTTAAAGTGTATCTCAGTCGCAGTGTAGAGTGAGATTGGTTCATGTTAGATCTACTCTTGTTCCCAGGATGCTGCGGAGTAACCAAATCAGCTGTGTGAACAACAAGACCTTTGCTGGCCTGGCCTCTGTCCGACTACTGTACGTGTTATTCTCTTTGATATTGCTGTATACAGTGTTTTGTCTATGATGTTACACTGTATTTGTCTATGATATTTTGGTACAAAATGTATTTGCCATCAAGGGAGATTTTGTGTTAGTACAAATAACAGGCAAGGCAAGTCATGTATTCACAGCCACCATCCTAGTTGTAGTTGGAGCCACATGCCCTCTGTACTTGTGAAGTAGAAGTGAAGGACAGTTACCAATCTCCACTCTATTTGAAATTCTGCAAATGTACATCAGTTTTTATCATGTCCCATTTTAGCCTGTGACTGAGTGTGAGCTGCCATGATAGTAAATCATCCAAGATGTAGCCAGCTGCTGATTCTTAATCAGCAGCAGTAACTGAGAAAATGTCATGGCTGTTGGTGGTACAGTGTTAATCTGCAGGTTCAAAGCCAGGGTCAAGAAAAACCTCCGGGGAAAATTAAGCTAATTAACTCAGCCTTGCACTGAGATTACCTGATAGAGAGGATATAGACAGACTGGCTGGTCTTATCACAAGCTTCTTATCCATTGGGTCCAAATAGTTTTGCTAAGTAGTCATGTTGTTGGCTATACACTCAAGGATGTTTTCATAAGTCCCATCAAGGATTTTTCATAAGTCCCATTTTCTATTTCCTTGACAAAGGGCAAGTTATAAATGTGATATGAAAGAAAAAAACTTAACAGTCTGTTCACTTGAAAATAAATGTTATTTGGTGCTGAATTTTGAATGATAAGATCACAAATATCCTTTTCAGTCAGTTATTGACCTTGAGAGATGGTATTTGGAGACAAAAGGTCACAAGTCACAGCAAACACATTCTACCCAATTACCAACTTTCAAGTTGATATTTTCAAGTTCGACACACCAACTGCTTGGAACATCACAGGATGCCTCCAATTAACCCCCGTGACCGGCTTAACCCTTGGATCATAAATCTGACTGAAGTTCTCTCCAAGCTCTTTGTACTCTGCAGTTCAAATGAGGCCAACATTATCCAATCAGCAGAGTCCTTTTATCTTTGAGTCAGAAGTTTTCAAAGGTTTTAGGAAATCATTGCCTTAAAGGAGCTAAAAGGATGGAAGAGAAGAGATAATGACATTATAGCATTTAGAAGACAAATACATCATTCTATTTGAAAGGAAAAGCAGTTATCATAGTTAGGATAGATGATATGCAACCCAATGCTGGCATACACTGATCTCCTGTGTATTTTCTTATCACAGCTCCCTGTATGACAACCGCATTTCTACCGTCCAACCCGGGGCCTTTGACTCTCTCAGAAGTCTGGCCACACTGTAAGTACATGCTACAAACAGGGTGACAGTCTGGAATGCTATGTACATTTGTACATGTACTTTGCCACTATTAAAGACATGGATTCAATAGAAAATTGTCCCTGTCATGTACACCAAATGCTCCTCATCCTTTGTTTGAAGTGCTTCTCCCTGCTGAAATAGCAAAGAAATTGTCTGTCTAATCTACATCAAATTCACCTCATCCTTTGCCCTCCATCTGACAGGAACCTTTTGTCCAACCCGTTTAACTGTAACTGCCACCTTGCCTGGCTGTCTGAGTGGCTGCGAACCAAACGGGTTGTGACTGGAAACCCCCGATGTTACAAACCCTCATATCTACGGGAAATTCCCATCCAAGACATCGCTGTCCAGGACTTCAAGTGTGACAGTAAGTGCCTAGTATACAACTCCATATGCAGTCTCCTAAATATCTGGCTTTCAATATACATGAAAATTTACCTGACAGTTTTAGGGTAAAGTTTGCCTTACATCATGCAACCCAATGCCTTACATTCAGTTTATTCAGTCTAGCAGAAGCCCACATTCAAATTTACCCAATAGTTACATTTATCTATTTGTGATAGACTCTATCAGCATGAAACTATCCCCTCTGACAACATCAAGACTGACTTCCTTACAATGTTCCCCAGTGGATGATGAAAACAGCTGCATTCCCATCAGCCATTGCCCAGAGATGTGCACGTGCACAGGGACTGTGGTGCGCTGCAGCCGGCAGAACCTCACCCAGTTCCCCAAGGACATCCCGCGAGCTGTGACCGAGCTGTGAGTACTACTGTACTGTCATTTTGTTTCAACATTGCGGGACTTGATTTCTAAGTAGGAGGAGAAAGAAGGTTTTCATCTTTGCATCAATCACTAGTCCTCAAGTCTTGAAACTGGACTACAGTCTACTCGGTTAGCATTGTACATGTACATGTATGTACGAGTTGATCAGACCCACACCTGTTCCCTGCAGGTACCTGGACATGAACCAGATCAACATCATCCCCAACCTGTCCCACCTGAAGCACCTGACCAGGCTGTGAGTATTGTGTGTTGTTACTGTAGTGTTACAGTGTGAATAGCACAGTAATATTGAATGTATCCAAGGAGAATCAATCACCTCCTTGATGCAACAACATTTTGATCTTGATATTTATTGGTAACTTCTTCAGAACTTTTAACTTTTAATTTTAATTAAAATTAGGGTTTATAGCTGATGGTACCAATGATGCCAGTAAAAAATAGATGATTGTATACAGTAACAGTTGGTGTCTGTGTACACCAAGAATGATCAAGATATAAGAGTTGAACAAATCAAGTTGCCATATACACTTCACCCAGCTACCCAAAGTAGCGAGACCCAAACTGTCTCCAACTGAGACTACATCCCAACTGTTGACATGTAAACCCTGCAGCCTAGCTATGCCTGCAGTGTGAGGCTAATACATGGCAGGAAGGGTGACCTTGCTATGCCTGCAGCGTGAGGCTAATACAGGGTAGGGAGGGTGGCAGTGCATGGTGGGATGGTGGTGATGACTTTACAGGGGTTACACGGCACCAGAAGTTGAGAAATGTTTGAAAAGACCTTGCTTTTGCTGCAAAAAAAAGAATCTAAAAGAGTTATAGGTTTCTTTTTGGACAAAAGAAGATGTAATATTTTTACAAAAGCACTGAACCAAAGGAAAGTTTGTATAGTTGGCGACTATGGCCATCATACAGTACCCGAGCTTTGTTACAAACTGAAGACCACTATTCAATTGGAAAGTAATGTTTTCCCTGACATTTCTGCAGCTGTGGTGCCTCCTGCATGGTTTGTTGCAGTACTAATGATTGTGGTGTTTGTCTGCCAGCTTCTATTTCCCAACATGCACCACAACCCGTAGCCTGACGCACCTCTCTCCCATTTCTTCCTCCCCCGTTTATTTTAGAGATCTGAGTAACAACATGATTAGCAAAATTTCCAACAACGCCATTGCGAACCTGACCCAACTCTCCACTCTGTAAGTACCCGCCACAGTAAGACCTGTACAGCGAACTTCAAACGACCATCACAGTTCACAAGCCTTGTGGTGCCACTTAACTGTACCAGCAGAGTCCGCGTTAGGATAACTGGTGTTAACCAATCACAGACCTCTGTGTTGATGCTGTTGCTTTGGGTGGTTTTACTTGCTTGCTTCTCGTGATTGGCTGGTTTGTTCTGGTGTACTCTGTGCTGTGATTGGTCAGAATCCTGCCTAAGCTTCTACCATGGAACAAGGATGGTCACTTGAAGTTCACTGTCAGAGATAGGTACTGGTATTATATTTCACTTTCAATGGGCATCCACATAAGAGCACAAACCTAATTCAAGTATGAACAAAGAACTGTCTGGGAAGGGAAATAATTTCCATGCCATATGTATAAAGTACTGATTTTTGTTTCACTCAAAAGACCAACAAATTCTTACATGTACAGATAGTGAATACTGATGACTGCAGCCAGTATTAACAGTGTGTGCCTCAGCTGAATGTGTAACAATGCTGCATAGTGCACAGTTGTTACAGCGAGAGGAGAAGAACATTTCTGGGATTCGCCTACAGATAGTCAGACCCTTTCTTTGTGCGTGCAAAAGTGAACGACTCTTACTGGAGATTAATTCTTTTCCTGCAGGATTTTGAGCTACAACAACCTGCGCTGCATCTCACCCAAGGCCTTTGCAGGACTGAAGGCTCTGCGGATTTTGTAAGTAAAGAAAGAATCTTATCAGTGCAAGTTGTCTGGCGTAATCTATGAGATGTATTCTCAAAGAAGGTCCAACTTCCTGTTTCCTTCTTCAAATCTAGATATCCTTTGACCCTGTATAATGGACAAAGTGGGTGGGTTTTAAATCTTCCTTAAGCTTGCTTACTTATGTCTGGTACATGGCTGGACACAATGGAAGGTTGGTGTTGAATATATGTTTATGACTATAAGACGCTTAGCTTTGTCTGCAGAATCAGCTTGTTTTTACAAAACAAAGACTGTTGGGCTTTGAATGGAGATGACTTGGACATTTTGAATAGCTGCTGTTACAGAAGACTTAAGGTAGAATATCTCACAGGTGGTGATGTTTATAGAGACTCAGGATGAATCTGGTCTATCAGGAAAGGTCATGACAACAAACTGTGGAACCGCATAGGAAACAGGAAAATGGTGGGATTGCCGGGGATTTGTAGTCTGAAGATTTAAGAACTCGGTTGACAGGTAGAGATAAAAGACTTAGCCTTTCTTTTCAGTGAGCCACATTCTTCACATAGTTTCTCATCCCACCCCTATGGCACTCTTCCCAAAGACATATTCAACTGAATGTTGTTTTCTAGATAAACCATCAATTATAACGTACCACAAACAGCTAAAGCCTATATCTTTTTCTCAAGGATATGATAATAATCAAATTGAGTTGTATGAAGATCTCTTTCTGCCCAAACAGATACTACTTTTCTCCTGTGATCAAACATCAGATGTCTCTGCTTTGTTGCGAGCCAGCATTCCTGATAAGCAATGTGCAAATGTATGAACTGTTCCAGCCAGCTGCATAGCTAAGGCTATGTTTGACCTCTGCCTGTCTTCCACTACTGTAGGTCTCTCCATGGTAACCAGCTGTCCACCATCCCGCAGGAGGCATTCAAGGACCTGCAGTCCCTGTCACACATGTGAGTAACAACTTTTCCCAGAAAACATGGGGAAGGAGCACTGCTGCCAAAGTCAACAGTCTTTGGGATGGGCAGAATGTCGTCTGAGTGCTATCAAGATGTCAGTTGTTTTTGATTATTTGTTGTGTGCCGGTATTTGTTCAAGTTCACAAGAATAACCAAGCAAGTCTCTAAGGAAGTGAGCATGACTCAAAGAGAATCTATTGGACAGGAAAAAGCTATTTCTTCATTTTCTTGCTATCCCAAAAGATTGTGTCACTGGTATGACGTCTAGATAATAAATAATTCAACATCAGAAACCCTAGTATGTTTTTGATGTTATTAAATATACTCAAATATTCTATATGATTATCAATTTAAAACTTAAATCTTACTGTTACATGTAACCATTCCCCACAGTGCCCTTGGAGCGAACCCCCTGTACTGTGACTGTCACCTGGTCTGGTTGTCAGACTGGGTGAAGAAAGACTTCATCGAGCCAGGGATCGCCAAGTGTGCAGGACCAAAGCAAACCATGGCAGACAAACTCCTGCTCACTGCACCCTCACGCAACTTTGTGTGCTCTGGTATGTCATGGTGTACAGTACAAACATGTACACTATATATTACTAGTATATACATGACATAAGTGCAAAATGTATAGGAATGTCATGAACCTGCATAATACATGATTGTGTTCTATCATGAGCCTTTCAAATCATAATGACTTTAAAAATCTAATCACTGTTCCTTTGTCATGCTACCATGGATAACAAAGGGAAAAGTATGTATCAATCTACTTTCTTTTTCTTCAGTGTATTAACGTTAGAGATACTTGAGATATTATGTCTCTATCTGAATGTATACCATGTTCCCTTAATGACCAGTCCAGGTCAAGGGACTTGGTTCTTCATGTAACAGTAGCAGGCAGGTAACTACATATAATAAGTCACAAACCAGAGGTAATTTGTACCTGTACAAAGTTGCTACAGTCCAGTTATATCCCTAACACCTCCCCCTCCCTTTCCCAGAGGAAGGCCCAGATTTGGAGATCCTGGCCAAGTGTGAGCCGTGTCTGTCTGGCCCGTGCCAGCACAACGGCACATGTGTGGAGGACCCCGGTCTGTCCTATAGCTGCACCTGTCAGGAGGGCTTCACCGGCAGGAACTGTGAAACTATCCTGAATGAGTGCTTCACCTTCCCATGTAAGAACGGAGGAACCTGCCACAAGATGGAGGAGGGGTTCAGGTACGTCTTACAAAAATGTACAGGGTTTCCAGTAGGCTTTTACACTGTAGCAGCACAAAGGGGTCACAATGAAGCAGCATAACTTTCAACATTCAACTTGTCTTTTGTCATGTCGTCTTTGTGACAAACCAGTATGTGTACCTCCCAGAATACATGGCTGTCTCCTAGCATGCACAACTTTCTTCCAGCACGCATGACTGTCATGTGAGGTTTCTAAGTTTCTGTTTTCTTCCCTCCCAGATGTGACTGTGTGGAGGGTTTTGAGGGCGATGTTTGTGAGGTAAACGTGGACGACTGTGTGGAACACATGTGTATGAACAACGGCTCCTGTGTGGACGGGAGTTGACGGCTACCTGTGCAAGTGCGTGCCGGGATATGCCGGCCACTACTGCGAACGAGAGGTCGACTTCTGTGACCCTGGGAAGAACCCATGTGAGAATGATGGGAAATGCATCAGTGAGGAAGAAATGTACAGGTCAGTAGACATTCAACATGTTGTTAAGGTTTCAATTCTCTAGTCCCAAAACCCACAAGTGATTGTTGCAACCTTTGTCCTGTTAATTTGTACAATGTATACGAATATCTAGTTGCTGTGCAATGTGTAGTCTGTTCCTATAAAGGAAAACTTAGTACTTCTCTGATGTTTCAAGCAACTAACAAAAAGCCCTTTTCTTCCAGATGTGAATGTGTCCAGGGCTGGACAGGTGAGAACTGTACTGAGAACATCAATGACTGTGTTGAGCACAAGTGTGAGAATGGGGGGAAGTGTATGGACGGGGTGGATGAGTACACCTGCCTGTGTCCTGAGGGGTTCAGCGGAGTCTACTGCGAGGTCACGCCGGTCATCATCCCCCGCACCAGCCCCTCGCCAGTACCACGACTGTCGGAACGGCGCACAGTGCATCGACCAGGACGGCACATTTGGCTGTCAGTGCAAGCCTGGATACAAGGGGTCACGCTGTGAGAACCTAACCAGTGTGTCCTACATCACCAAGAATACCTACACCCAGTTCCCTACCCTGAAAAATCACCCGCATGCCAACATCACAATGGTAGTGGCCACAGATCAGGACAACGGCATTCTCCTCTACAACGGGATCATTGACCACATCGCGGTGGAGTTGTTCCGAGGTCGCGTGCGGGTGAGCTACGACGTGGGGAACTACCCTGGCTCCACCATCTACAGCTACCAGACCGTGAACGACGGGAGATACCACACCATCGAGCTCATCGCAGCAAACCAAATGGTGAACTTGAGTGTTGACCATGAAGAAGCCAAGAGCATGGTGAACACGGGTCTGAATGAGCAGCTGAACCTGATCACTCCCTTGTACATCGGCGGGATGCCACAAGACGTCAACGCACAGGCTGTCAAGGACTGGCACGTCAGGAACGGAACCAGTTTCCACGGTAGGCAGTTCTGCTGGAATGTTCTCTCTCCCAGTACACACTTTACATTTGTTTGGAGTGTCCAAACTTTAACATATCACAGACTTATTAGTGGTACAATACTTAATATACAAAATGTAATTGATTAGGTACATGTACATGTACATTGTTTTGCCTGCCATGTTACACGAAGTAGCACTTGTAGCAACCCAATATTCTGTTCTGCTGACTCACTGTGGTCTGAAGTACTGACATGCCATCCTGCCCCTCACCAGGCTGTATCCAGAGTCTCACCATCAATGATATGGAGGTGAACTTTGATGGGGGGCCTGGTGGTGGAGGGGGTTGTCCCAGGGTGTGGGGAGGACAAGCCCGACCCCTGCCAGTCCAACCTGTGTAAACATGGCACCTGTCGAGCCCTGAGCGACGTGAGCTACTCCTGCGACTGTGACAAGGGATTTACAGGTAAGACTGGGAGAGTTTGGGAGAGGGATAGTGTGTTCTTTGGGCTGTGTTATATACAGCTATAACTTTCACCTTTGCAGTGGTTAAAATTTAAAGAAACTGCTGTCTACATGAAGGTTGTTTGGGCCCTTACTTGCAAACTCTACAATATAGACAGCTGATACTGCAGGCATTTTTGCAGCATTATGATTGAACTCCTTGTTAACAGGGACATAGCACACTATTTTGATCAGCACCTGACAGATACATGTACATGTATGTTCCCCACCCCAGCTAACCATCCCCTCATTTTCTTTTATTTTGCAACTTGGATCCCTTATAAACCAACAACTTGTAGCTTAAACCAGCAGCTACATATAGGCTTGTAGTGAAAGTAACACCTTACAGTAAGTTGCCAGCTAACCTGCAGTTCTGTGCTCCACCGCTAGGAGCGCTGTGTGAGGAGAAGGAGCCAGACCCATGTGAGGGTCACAGGTGCTTGCATGGCACATGCAAGGTGGTGGATGAGAGCAGCTACATGTGTGACTGTGAGCGAGGGTACACAGGTATGCAAGCACAAGCTGTAACAGTAACCACTCGTACACAGACAAATCCCTAATCCATACAAATTTAAAGTTAGGTACTTACATGTTCTCACACAATCCTTGGTTGACCCTTAAACTTAACAAAGGCTAAAAGTTAACATGACCGGAACTGGACAGAGTGATTTTTGTGTTCAGAATGTAAGAAGGCATGGAAAACATACAGTCAGACTGTACTACAGTAACATGCATGGCAGGTGCATGGACCTGTTGGATTGTAATGCAATGACTGGATGGATAACTTTAAAGTGCATCTCCATCAACAATATCAAGTTGTACTTTGAAGCAGTATTGAGCATGTTTAGATAAACCCTGTTGTGTTTCCTCCCCTCCCAGGCTTGACCTGTGAGCACAAGGCTGACCCGTGTGAGTCCCACAGATGTGTGCACGGGGAGTGCCAAGCTGTGGACAACTTTGAGTACACCTGCCAGTGCAAACCTGGCTACTCCGGCCCACTCTGCGATCAAAGTAAGTCTACTGACTACAGATGTGTAGGACTACTGCAAAACCTACAAACCATGGAAGACATGCCACCTTTTCTTATCATGTGTAACACAACATTGGAAAACTTTGGATTAGATTTAAAAAAAGCACATACAGAAGGTTCAAGGTTTTTATGGTCACAAATTTTTCCCAATAATAGGAAGAGACCACCTCAGCTTAGTTTGTCCCATCACGTGGAAACATTTGACATTCTACAAATTAGAGGAAATGTCAGAGTTTCATTGATGTAACATCTGTAACCAAAGCCTTTGATGTGAAGGCTGATAATGAACTAAAGATTGAAGAAAAATAACCTGCTAAGCATGAGAGGGAATGAGCTGGAAGCTCTGCTAGCGTAATGATGGTTTATACTTAATAAAGTACTAGTGCTAGTGAAGGATAGCTGTCCTAGTGTTAAGCACCGGGGAATGCATGTTTGAGGCTAAGGTGCTAGAACTGTGCATGGACTTGATAAACAAATGCCATGTTTGTGTTGGGTGCACTTTACTAATGGGTGCTCTTTGACTCTCCCCCCTCCCCCTCCACGTCTGTAGTTGTTGCAAAGGAGGGAGTTGGTCTTGACGAGCCCGCAAATGGTAAGAGAAAAAAAGACACTGGCCATACTGACATGTCAGCTCATGTGTGAGGACCATGCCCTTATAAAGACAGTACACAATACTAGTAGTTTCAGCTCACAGTAGGCAGTTTCAGTGGTCTGAACAATGTTCTAACAAGTGCAGGTTAATTCCCAGGGTGTTTTAGTCAACAGTACAACTTGTTATAGAAGGCACAAGTAAGGACAGGCCCAGGGTTCACAATCATTTAAGCAGCCATATAACTCATGAAGTATTTCAATCACACTGAACTGCATTAGTGAACACACAGTTACATGTACCACTAAGACTTCTACATTTTATAGCAATTAAGTAAATATTTCGGACATACATATCTCCCTACCAGCAGTTTGGGGACTACAACAGCTAGACAAGCCTTGTACTGTCTGCTTAAGACAGCAGAGTCTAAATCAGGGTGTGACCAGTTGGTGACAGAAACTGTAGGACCTCCAGACTTCCTGATAACCAGAACATTAGTCATTGCACAGACCGGTGCTACAGGCAGGAAATTTATGTAGAATGTAAAGGACATGGTTCTCATACATGGCTGACTTCCCATCCCTCATGCTAATCAGCCTGACCTCCATCCATACAGGCCAACAACAAACTTTACTACTAACCCCCCATAGGGAACACTAGTCAAAGTAACTCATAGCAGAGGTACAGCTAACAAACCACTTAGGAAATATGTTAACCTTTAATATACCGACTGTGACTTCAGTTGATGATGCAACATGAATGATTGTGGACCTCTTAACAGTTTGGGTTTCAATGCTCTTCACTTTAACCACTCATTACTTATTACTTTTGTCACAGACATGAGCTCAGTAGCAAAATCAAATATGTTTAGCATACTACATTTTTGTGAGGGTCAATCCCAGTCAATATGTAGGTTCTGTTCGTGAAATGCTCCAGTAACCACCTGTTTGCATGTACACGTTTGACTATCTTCTTCCTGAGAAAAGCCTTATAGCTTCCTTTTTCTTCTACAGGCTACTTTACATCAAACACAAACCCACAATATTTGTGAGGTGAGAGAAAAAGAAAGCCAAATGTTAAATTGGCTGAAGAAAGAATAGATGGGACTATTATACATTATGAACACTTACAGAGCACCAGACTCCATATGGGAACTTTTTTCAATCTGTATTTAATAACTGAATGTTCCTTTGTCCCCCTCTTCAGCTGACCTTCGCTGTGCCAGCGAGCGGTTCCGGGAGTATATCGAGGTCGTCCAAGGTCTGTCTGTCTGCCGCAGCCGAAAAAGAGTGGGGAATGTCCGCTGTAGCGGGCTCTGCTCCAACGGACTCTGCTGTAAACCAACGAGGTTCAAATCCCGGCGGACCAGAGTCTACTGCCCAGACGGAACAAGTTTCAAGCAGGGATGGACGAGAGTTCTGGAGTGTGGATGCCAGGAATGCTAAAGTCTTTTCTTCCTAAAGTATAAAGAAATGACATGGACTGGACAAAATAGATGTGTTGAGTCTGTCACTGTAAAAAGAGGAATTATAAGATGACCAGGTGGAGAGGTCCACACTGTGAGCCAGAGGACCTCATGTATATGCAAGAGATTTCTGTTTGGGCAAGGAAACCAAGCCATTACCTCATTTCATAATGATTTGCTTCGTAAATATTGTGGGAACTTAAGATTCTCAAGAAGAGGGCTGGATTCTACTTAGCTTTCTTTCACATGTGAGTTTAGAGCATTCCTGGCAGCAGCCATAAAACCTGCCAAGTCTAGGGAGGTTTCAAGATTTCAGTCAAGACTGGAGAGCAGAGGGACAAAAGGGCAGACAAATTAGCCAAGACTTGGACCTGTATATAGTACTAGTTGGCACGTCAGTTGGTGTATTTAGTATATGCTACATTAATTTTGGCAAGTTTGGTGAAACCAACTTGGATGTGTGGATAACAGACAAGTTCTGCTAATCATGGAATGCATGGGAATTGTGGAGAAAATCATGTTTCATATATTCCTTGTGATGACTGTGTTAGACAGGACGTCCTGGTTGGGATGTCCATAGTTGCAGCAGGCTGTATTTAAGGCAATTATGCTTTGTTGCTTCTAGTTCCAGAGGGGGTGGTTGGAACAGCTCTGTCAGACTTATTCGACACAGGTTGTACAGGGAACAAAATTAATATAGATAACGTTACATGGATTGCTTAAGTCACTGCATCTGGGGCAACTATAAAACTAGTCACAAGTTGTTGGAACAGAACTGCATAATAGTTTCATGGAATAAAACTGCATGTTAGCCATGAACACTCCATCCACACTGCAACACTACCCTCTGTGTGCAATAAGTCTGACATAGGCTGTGAAATATGATGTCTCATTGTAATATATGGGTTTTCAGTGTTTGAAAAATAATGGTGACGATTATGAGTGATCCTCCTAAAATGTAACAAATTAGTGATTGAGTCGTCAAAATCCCAGCATCAGAGGTTGTCAGTATTATTGATTAATCTGTGTATAACAAACCACAGGGCAAACTTATTTTATATTCCTGTTATTTATTCTGTGGTCATTATTTTTGTACCAGTTGGTTTAGTGTTTGTCATCCCTGTAGAATGTTGCTGCCAACAATGTGAAAACACTTATGTATGTAACAGTGTCGACTGTAGGAAAATTCTAGATATATAAGTTATACATATTATATATATATATACACGGAACACAAACTTCATTTGATATTCCATGTGTATAATAGGATGTCTTTACTAAGGTTGGATGCCATTGAATTTCTTGTACATTTGTTAACCAATCTTTGTGTGTGGATGACGGGCACAAAAAAGTTGCTGTGGCCACAGTGTATCATTGTGTAGTATCCAAGCTTTGTATGTTTAGCCGTACAACACAAACAGATGTTTCTTCAATGTGAGCATGTCTTGGCATGGCACCAGTACACGTAACATACACTTAACAATGTAGGAAACATTTCCTGATCTTAATGGAAACATTTACATGTAAAGTGCTGCATTGTAAAGACAAATTAGCATGATGTTAGGCTGCTACAATGCTGGACAAAGTTTGTCTGCCAGACAGAAACAAAGTCCCGATGTGGACATGTTGTACAAATGGTTGTAGGTCTTAACGTTGAAAATCTAGCATTAACTTGCAATGGAGATTTTTATTGTATTTATCACTATTATGCCACATAAATCAATAAATTATAAAACCTGATGCCAAGTCTTGACATCTTGCTTATATCACAATGAATAAATCTGACCTTCACATAAGGTAGTTATTTCAAAAGGTCGTCTGTTTCCCTTGTTGTCTGTTGCCCTGCTTCCATTTCCCCTTGACATTCTGTTTTTTGAACTTTTGTTTCTGTTCCAAAGTCCTTTTCTTACCTGGCTGAGCTGCTTCATTGTTACCTTCCCTCTTCCTTTTTCTCTTGCCTGACTTCCTAAAAGGAGATAAACATTCCATTAGTTGCATGTACCGGTACATGCAGAATTGATTGAAAATATAAACCAGACTTTGCTTTAAAAAATGGCAAAATGAAGACCCTGGAGTCAGATCAAAACCAGTTTCAAATTTGTCACTCAAAAACATCCACAGCAATGGAAAAAGTCAGCACTGTACATGGGAATCTTGTTATGGAATGGAAGGTCATTCAGCACCAAGGAGGGGGCAGTCAAAGGAAACTTGTATCGGAAGTCATGTAAGAGAATAAAAGCAAGTGAACCCAGGTGATTTGATTCCTGTTAAGAACAGGAGTAATTATTGTAAACCCGGTAACAATTCTACTGTCTATAGTGTAGTCAGCCTACCTCTCTGCCCCAGAGTACCTCTCCTCTGAAAATCTCTGTGGACACTCCCTCCTCTTGTGCTCGGGGTGGCCACAGATGTAGCAGCCGCCCAGGTGCTGTGTCTGGCTACAAACGTGGTCTCTGGGCTCACAGCGACGGCAGGACTCACAGTGAGACCATGCTGGGGGGTGGGGATAAAGGCCAAGGTAAAGGTTTCACATCAAGTAGAAAGGTAGATCTGATGATCCTACCCTTTTGTGACAACTTCTTAACCACTTACCTGAGGCTTCCTACCCATTAAGAAAATCCAAAATATATACACGTCCTGCTTTGCAAATTATACATTTTACTTTTGAAAGCAAACAATTTTGAGCACATGTCCTAAATTTAATTTCAAGGCCATATCTTACATAGGAAGTGCATTCAACATGCATGCTGAGGGATATGCTGCCCTTGTATATCCATCTGTAGGTGTCATTTCTACATAAACTTATCACTTTAACAAATTACAGATTTTTGAGAGAGATGGACTGTACCTGGCTTCACACACTTCTGGCACAGGTCACAGTGCACATACGTTCTGCCATCCTAGGAAACAGGACATGTTGATGTCATCTATTCCATACACCGTGATGAAATATAACTAGAATGTGAAGTTCAATGTCACTAATGTTTTTTTATAATCATTACACATGTGAACCTTATAATCTGATTCAGAAGGTTTATTGAATTCCATTACCAATGGCTAAAATATGTTTTTCTCAATTGACATAGTTGAGTGGTGACCTCAGCATACATCATCATGCCAGGAGGCACAGTCAGCAGTCCATAGCAACTGTGCTGTTTACCTCCCTTCTCACATCCATCACTGGAGAGGGGTCAGACTCACAGATAAAGTCCTGACAAGGCTGGCCAGCCATGGTTAATGAGAAGGAGCCCTGTGCCTTAGCAACACAGGCTTACCTTGGAGGTACAGCAGTTGCACTTTTGGCAGTGTCTATTCTCTGGGGCCACATATCTTCGGCAGAGGTCACAGAATCTGTGGGAAAAGCAAACACACATTAGGAAAACTGTAGTTCCCTTTTGTCTGGCCTGAACTTGTGAACTTTTGATACCCCAAGGACATTACTCATAGGAAGTACCATTCACTTTTGTACTCTGGCAGATTTCTATTCAGTAGTGGGGCCAAATCTCATTAGAACTATGAACCGGAAACTTGAGGTAAATATTGACAGAATTGATTGATCTTGGTCTCATTATTCTAAGTTTTAATTCTAGAAATTCATAAAAGGGCAATTCAAAATCATTTCCACAATTTACCAGTAGATACAGCCCTTGAACCAAGGTACATGTAGATATAGAAATGTACATGTTTTGTCACTATCTCTTTGTTGTTAAATCCAATTCGTGAATGCATTGATGAAATTTAAATTTGTCATTGTAAAAAATGACTGCACAAGGTCTGTTCCAGCTGCTGTGAGAAAATCCCTAACTTTTCTTTAGAAGTGACGAATGTGCAGCTAAGACAGTCATTGGCTTCTGCCTAACTATACAGTAGTGACTACTAGTATGCAGTGACTAACCCATGTTTAAATATAACTCACTTATCTATTTGTCTGTGTTCTACACAGTGCTTCAGTTTCTTCTGCCTGCTGTGAAATTATTGTGTTAACTAAAAAGTCCAAAGTTTCATGCGGTACAGTCAGTAATCCACGGGTCTGAACTGTAAAAGCCATTCTGAACACACATAACCAGCTGTAACCAAGCCAAACATCCAGTTGTCATCTGATCCAAGGATCCTAGCCTAGTTTTAAACACAATTCTCTGCTATTTCTCTACAATTCAGGACTGCTACTGCACTTGCACTCGACCCTGTTGCAGCTGGATCTGACTCTGTGCCAATCACAGTACAAGTTGAACAGATGTTGGGTGAGGTAGGGATGGTATTATGGGGGCTAGGCAGGGATCGGGAATGTGGAGGTTATGATATGATATCCCATGAAACAAGATCCAGCCCCTGCTTATGGCCAGGCAGAGTCATGTGTACCAAATGTGGCACAGCAATGTCACCATGTGTGTCAGTGTGTCATACAAGGTACACAGATAACAATGTTGACACAGAAAACATGGGATATCGTGTTGACATACAAAACATGTGTATTCCCAAAAGGTAGCATGGTTTCTTTCAGGAGCTGTCTATAGATTTAGTAGTACAGTATTATTATGAGCTACAATTATACACTTTTTGGAGAGAAAGCTGACTTTCAAAAATATGGATGGCTTGAGGTGTAAAAATGCATGAATCGTGCCCTGGAAAAAAGTTTGTGAAAAAGGTACTGTAACTATTGGTAGACATAAAAGTTGTTTTACATTGTTGCAGCTTTCTAAATGAAGAAAAGACAACCATTTCTACACATTCTTTCATCTATTAATATTAGATTTTAGCAAGAACAGAAGTTTGAAAATTCCATTCGAAATTTGGAACAGCTTTGGAAATTACAAAATGAGCTTTTTGTTGCCAATGGCAATGTACATGTATGAAGTCATCTCTATTGTCAGGATCCAATATGGTTGGAGTGGGAGTAGATTACTTAACCAGAAGGAAACTTCTGGAATGATGATTTATTTGCCATTAGATGTAAAACTTGGGAGAAGTCCAGTCTTCCTGTGCATCCCTCATTGTACCAGCATTGTGCCAGCCTTACTGTATGTCCAGTCTTACTGCAGGTAAGTTCCATGTCCAGCCTTTTGGCATGTCCAGCTTTACTGCGTGTGTTCCATTGTACCAGCTGTAACTCTGAGTGACAGTTGCTGGCTGTTATAAACAGACTGCCCTTACATAGTTAACCACCACCTCAGAAACAGGAACCCCACTGTCTGTGTAGAACTGAGGACCCAGCACAATCCGCCCCATATCCAGAATACTGGCACAAACCATTCCTCTCACAAAACAGGATGGAACCCGGTCCTAAAAAGAACCAAAGATCCCGATTATAGATTTTACAGCCCTGACATATTGACAGATTTAACAACTGTAGCCCTGTGATTTGTTTGTTGAGGTAGTATTCCAGCCTATGTTGCTTGGAAAGGGAATACACTATCGCTGGAGAATAGACTGTTCCACCCACTTGCCATATCCTTCATTCCGCCTGTCATAAACCAGTCAAGCAGGCAGTACCAGACAGTCCCTCCTTGCTAAAGAACTCCTGTCTGTGTCTAAGAGACAGGGCAGGTATGGGACTGTAAGCTTCTAGACTTACCATCCACATTCATAGCTGTGAGCCTCGGCAGGTAAGCAGTGTACAACTTTTCCTAACTTTGAATCAGTGACTTTTGGTGGCACTGTGTGAGCATGATGTATGTGTTCATGTAGCTATTTTAAACACGTCACTGCAGGCTTAAGATAACGTGTCAAGAAATCATTCCAACAAAACAATAAATGACTTTTACATTTACTTTAATTGCTTTATCAATTTACTGATTGAAAATGCATCATATGTAGTATTTGACCGACTACATATACATGTATTGTAAAAGGTCTTGTCAGGTTGTCTATGTAGCCCTCTAGCTTCAATTTCCATTGAAATTCCAGTCAAAAAATGGCCGCTGCTGTTTAGTCTCAGATAACAGATTTTCATGCTGAAATTTTGCCTACTAAGTTTTGACAGACGAGCAAAGACCCAATGTATAATTGAGGTACAAATTCTATATTTAGCTTGCACGTTTCCTGGAAGGCTGCCCTCATTGTTTGACAACCGTATCAATTACACTGATCACGGATCACCATTTAAAATCTGCAGACGACTTTTATGACCGGGAATACTCTATGTGATACTGTGTTGATATGTGTGTGATATGATATGCACATATACATGTACAAAAGGAACTGCAGGCCACACCTCACACTGAATGCTCCTGCCCATACCATAAACAAAACAGCACGATAGTAACTATCATTGTTGGCTTTCTCAGCAATATCAGCTCTCATTTTTGTGCAGAAGACTTTTCAAGTTGATAGGCATTTTAACTTCTAAAGACCATCAGAAGTGAAACTTGTTCCGTATTGCTGTGCTATTAATATCATTATTAAGCCCTTTATTTTTCCATCCTTGTCAGGTTGTCACGAGCAGTCCAGGATGGGCAGACTTGTGCTGTGTCTCAGTGTGGTGGTCCTAGCCTGGGTCACAGTCGTCTCAGGCCAGGCGCGCTCCCCCTGCCCAGCAGGCTGCCGCTGTAATGTCCCAAACCAGATTGTGGACTGCAGCGGGGACCAGCAGATGGCCCTGGTTCCCAGCGCACAGATTCCCATCGGCACGCGGGAGCTGTACCTCAACCGCACCAAAATCACCAACCTCATCCGCAACCAGTTTGCCAACCTGGTGGCCATGTCTGTGCTGGACCTGAGTTATAACCAGCTGTACTTCATTGACGCTGGAGCGTTTTTCGGCCTGGGTAACCTGCAGGAACTGTCCCTACAGTTTAACAACCTGACGGCCATCCCACCCATGTTCCTGCCCCGACTCGCCAAACTCAAGCTGTACAACAACCACCTGGTGAACATCACAGCTGGGGCATTCCGCGACCTCAGCGGTCTGACCCACCTGTACCTGTCCTCCATCCCCACCCTCCAAATGCTGCACGACAACGCCTTCCAAGGGCTCAACAACCTCGTCCTGCTCTCCATCAGGAAAAACAACCTGAAGAAGATTCCAACCCTTCAGGACATCCCTAACATCGTGACTCTTGACCTCTCAGTGAACAACTTCACCACCATCAAGAACACGACTTTCAGGACCCTGAACAAACTGAAGGAGCTGAAGTTGGGGAGCTGCAACATCCAGAGCATCGAAGCTGGAACCTTTGCTGACAACTATGCCCTGGAGAAACTTGATCTCACCAACAACAAGTTGGAAACACTCCCAGAGAACCTGTTTTTCCCATTTGAGCCCTCCCACGCCCTCGATGAGGGTCTGAACATTGCATTATGGGAGAATCCGTGGCTGTGTGACTGTAACTTGCAGTGGCTGACGGACTCGATTGAACGTATCGGGGCCTTTGATCCCGTTACTTACATCCCGCTAGTCTGTGATGCCCCTCGCCACTTCAAAGGCAAGTTCCTGGAGGAGATTCCCAAGAACCAGCTGGAGTGTGGAGTCTTCATCACCAGTGCAGTGGACCAGTCCCAGGTGGTCCAGTTTGGAGGAAGTTTAGTCATAGATATCAATGCTGAAGGGAAGCCCCAGCCGATAGTGAGGTGGGCAACTCCAACCGGCATCATCATCACAGCAGGTCAGACCATTAAGGGGGTGAGTGTGAGCAGGACGGGAAAACTGACAGTTGCGAAGATCGACGCCTCCCATCATGGCACCTGGCAATGCCGGGCAGACAATGTTAAAGGACAGTACGATATTGTACCGTTCAAGATCGTGGTGACTGACATCCCCAAGCCTACAACTCGCCCCCCTCCTGTGGTGGTCGTCCCACCCAAGAAGCCGGCTGCCAAGCCGGCCACCAAAGCACCACCACCCAAACGCCCCGCCCCCACCAAACGTCCGGCTGCCAAGCCCAAGCCTGCCACAACTCCACCCAAGACTGCCACCGGCGGCAAAACTGGAGCCAAGGGAGAAGGGACAGGAGGCATCGTCATCGACCCAGGGAGCATCAACATCAAGTGGCACGACGAGTATGACTACGATGACTACTACAACCATGAGTACAACCTGGAAGAGCTGCTGGGGGGCATTTTTGGCATGTTCATCTTCATGCTGGTCATCCTGTTCATCATCATCTGTCTGATGAGGATCTCCTTCAGGGCCAGTGCCAGTGTGGCAGTGTGACAGGAATACATGCATAACTTCTCTGTCTTTCTTCATGGTGCTCTTGTCTGTAGCACAGATTTACTCCTGTAAAGTTAACACTTCAAGTGGGACCTGAGAATAGGATACAATACATGTACATGAAAAATATCGAAATTAGTGGTTTCTATGGAAATGGAAACATGTGAGCTGACATTAAGTTCATAGTATATTTGAACACTGTGAGAAAGCTCAAAGTACCAGTGATATGACACCACCACATGAAAGTGACAACTACGGGCAGTACCCATGTATGGTTACTTCGACACTTTTGACAGACTGCTTGAGACTAGAAACCTGAGTTCTATTGTAACTGTTGAAGACACAAGTATATACTGCACAGCTGGACCACAAAGTCTTTGTTACACAAAAATTAGATTTAAGTTTACTTTACTAGTCCACTATATATATAATGATTGGATTTAAAGGTAACAGCAAATGGCAGGAAACTTTGTTAAATTTAGTAGAAATTGTAAACTGATAGATATTAGAAACTTGCAATTTGAGGTCAGTAGAAGGCAATAGTATTATTAGCAATAGTAGCACAGTAGTAGTAGGTGTTAAGAGACATGATCCAGACATCATACACCAGCACACTGGTAACTTAAATACAAGTAACAACTATGAATGTATATTCTGTGGTCTGTAATCAACAGCAGAAAGGAGTGCAAGAGCTTAGGCCTGTTTCTGGAAAAACAAACTGGGCATGCATGACTTGACTTTTACAGCAAGCTGAGCTGGTATCTCTTTATATCTGATTCTGTTTCTAATTTCCATGTGTAAATATTGTGGAATGTTGGATTCATTGATAATAAAAGGTGATAATTACAGATTATATGCAAGTTTTTGAACTTTGTGTTAAGTGTACATTCATGTAGACAATTGTACTTTAAAAAAACAGCTCACCTGTAACCTTCCTTTTGGGGCAGAACTACTCTATCAGTGGGGAGGTTTGTAAAGATGCGTACAGGAGAACCCCTCTTCTTCGACTTGGGCCCTTCCTGGTACAGAGGGTGGTTCTCATACTCCACCTAATGCAGTAAAGGTTCAGACTTAGATGGTAACTCTTAAATGTGCAATGTTACCTACTTACTATTCTATATGCAACTATCAAAACCCAATGGCAGAATTTAAGTCAAATAAAGGAGAAAAAGTGGACGTTGATAACACACCTTATAGTCCAACATCCTGAAGGAAGGAAGACAGTCCACTATTCTCTGCTCCATGAAGTAAGGGAAAATCCACAGTGTGGGGATTTCTGTCTCCTGACAGCTGTCTGAAAAACACAGGGAAAACTCTGCAGCTGTGTGAAATAGTAGAATGTGACAATCAGTTGGATACAAGCTTAACTCGTCGAAAAATTTAATTCTAAATTAGGAAACTAAAGTATTGGTAGTACGTGTCATTGACCTATAATTACATAAACAGTTATCATAAGAAATGGGGTAATGAAAAAGCTTTTCAATGATATATAATTACATTACAATATCCAATAAAGTAACAACAAAGGTATGATTGCCCAAACATTTTGACAAATTAACATGATAGCAGACAGACTTGTTAAACATACCAGGTAAACCTTCTTTCCAGAGGCTGAATAACTTCTTCATGCAGTGGCACAACACCTCCACCAAGCCTCCAAAGGGTGGGTCTGTTACCATGACAATCCCAGTACCATGGTTACGGTGTAAAAACTGTAAGCAGGCATCACTGGCTGAGCCTCCATCAAAGAAGTGGTGGTTGAACATGTTATAGTGGCAGAAGTGTTCCTCACTGTAGAACTGGGCCTGGTAAAACATTACAACATTCATATCACAGAGCTATCACACTACTATTTCTACCCATGCAAACAACAATTCTATACGAAAAAAGAACAATATGCATGCAAAATCACAACCAACATCACCATCAACCTTAATCCTGCTTGAGCAGTGTTATTTCTGTATTCGTCTAAGGTAGTTCAGTCTGAAAACTGATCTCACACAAAAAGCATGTGTTTACAGTGATCAGAAATTGTGCTTGAGACCTTAACAAGCTTTAACGTCCTAGAAATCCAACAACTGTTGAAAGTGAGGCTCTCACATGTCTGTGATCGATGTCCAGTAAAAGGCTGTCCAACTGGGAAAGTCTGGCTGCCCGCTGGGACTGAATAGTTTCATGTAACCTGAAAATAGAGCAATTAACCTGAAAATAGAGCAATTCAGCAAATCTACAATAATGTAACATCAAACCATTAAATGAAAATGGGACAACTGATAAGACATAATGGTGCATATTCTTGTAACAGTTCATTCTAACAAGTTTCATATCAAATCCATTACATAGCTCAAAGCTGCATAGTGCAATCAAGCTTCAGCCCACAAGCATCTAATCTTGTAATTCTTGGATTAGAAAAAACAATGTACCTCAGTCACACTCACTCACTATCAGGTTTAACGTTTCACCATTGTGTCATTCTAGCCACATGTGTGTCCCAAACGATTTTACTTTGATACATTGGTACCAACATTCAAAACTACTTGGTTCCTAGTTTCAGTATCCACTGTAATGTCATAAACAGTTCAAGTATCCATCCAGTTCATGATGCCTGGTGGATAATTGATTGACTTCACCTGCCCACTAAAACAATTTTTAGCAAAGATCTGAGAACCAAGAAATCAAACTGATTACCTGGGAACTCCAACACAGAGCACTCTGTCATAGCCAAGCTGCTGGACCTGGCTTAGGAAAAACTGCAGCGTCTTCTCTGAGAACAGATATTGCTGAAGAAGAAAATACTCATAAAGGTTAATGATTTTACATTTGTCTTTTGAGATGGTGACTGTGGTGTAATAATGTATTCTAACTATTAAACAACAAGTTCAGACAAGACATTGGAGATGTGACTTATTCATCAGAAAATAAATCACAAATGAAATGGGACATATTTGGAGAATTCTGTACTCTGTGATATGACTTCCCTTGTTGGAGGTGTTTGTAAAACTTACAGCATTAGTTTTCTTATTTTCCCTGGGATGGAGGAGGTGGGTTGGCCTGGTCAGCTGGTCCAGGGTGACAGTCTGCAGCACACGATGCTGACTGTGTTCCTCCCACTCAGCAGGTAACAACAGGAGACTGCAGGATTCACAGAACCGCCTCTTTGACATGGGGAGGGCTCGGAATTCCACTAACCTAAAGACAGTTTTGGAAATACACTATGTAGTTTACTACTGAAAAACAGATAACTCATGAAAAATATACATGTACATAAATGTACTTCTTTTTTTCTAACAGCTGAACTCCTTTCCTATTCATCTTCTATCAATTAGAACTGTAATATATGGGAAAATGTTGGTCAGTCACTACTTATAAAATTAAAAACTATTCCTTCTCAAATCTTAGCTTTGCAACAAATGACAAGCCTTTGGCTACAAAACAATTCAGTTTTTTGAAGTGTTTCAAACCCATATGCAAATCACCTGACATTGAAATAGAACAACACTTGTAAGGTCGATGTTCCCAATGGTTTAACATAAGTAAATGACACTAGCTGTTTATAATATATAGTGGTAAAACATGTCATGTTACATGTCATGGCAAAAATGTGTCTTTAATCTGGACAACAAATTATGAAGATCATGAACTTAATGTGCCAAGTCATATCTACCTTTTGCAGAACTGTTTGTGAGTGTATGTTGGCTGAGAGGCTGCAGTGATATTTGCCCAGGCCTCCTGACGAGCTTCTGACATCTTCTCTCCATACCTCAGGTAGAAGCTGCACTCTTTCCGGTCCCGACAAGCACTGCAGGCATAAAACTTCTCCCCAGAGGGCGCTCCTCTGATGTACCTCTCAAACAATAGGGTAGGTCCTGGAAACATGCAAGTCAACTAATATGTCTACATACATAATTATTTTGCAGGTAGGTGCCAGGAAAGTTGGAATTATATCTACATACAGAGAAGTGGGCTTCTTCCACTGATGAAAAGACTTCACAATCGCAATTGCTACACAAGTAACATTTTATCATATGTATTTTTGAAAAGTCAGCATATTTGTCATGTTTTCAAAGTTAGTCCTACTAGCATTCCCTGTATTCAAATACAGAAACATTTCTACATGTACGTAGTTGTCATTATCTGTTGAGAAGTTCAGCTAATCCATAAAAATCTTAGGTAACGAAAACAAATGTTGTGTTGCTAACATGACTAGACATGACATTCCCTTATTCCCACGTTTTAACCAAGGTAAGTACCACCAAATATCTCGGTGTCTCCATCTCCTCAAACTTGACCTGGGGCAGACATGTCGATCTAGTTACAGCGAAAGCAAACAGAACCTTAGGAATGCTGAGACGCTGCCTGCGAATCTCAAGCAATGCGGCAAAGGAGAGAGCTTACATGGCTCTTGTAAGACCCTCCTTAGAGTACGGCTGTAGTGTCTGGGATCCCCACACCAAGGACCAGGTGAGTAGGGTGGAGATGGTCCAGCGTAGAGCTGCCCGTTTTGTCTGCAGTGACTACAGACGTACAAGTTCTGTTTCATCTATGTTGCAAAACCTGGGCTGGCAGTCTCTGGAAGTACGTCGGAAGATCGCCCGCCAGGTCATGTTTTATAAGATCATACACAACGCTGTCTCCGTCCCACACTCAACCAGGATTGTCCCGGTGGCTCGATGCTCCCGCCGCATCAATCACACTCAAACATTGCAGGCCATCGCGAGCAGAAACAACTTCTACAGGCTCTCGTTCTTCCCCCCGCACCATCAGGGAATGGAATGAACTTGAGCCTGGTGCGGCGGAGGCGGGGTCTCTTGCCCAGTTCAAATCTGAACTGGCGAGGACCCTGCTGCATTGAGCCACCCCATCATGTCTTGTATATATGTATATATTACTAACGCACTAATGCACTTGTCCCGTCTTTAGCACACACAAAATCAGTTGTCTTATGTTCCCTTCTCACTTATCCTTGTTTTACCTTTGTTTTTATGTACTGGGTCACAATTGTAACTAACAATGCGTAACGGCTGCCAATAATCCTACATGGTAGGGCTAGGCAGTAACGGAGATGATGATGATGACATTTCCCTGGACGTACCATGAGGGCAGTGTGGAGCTGGAGCTTCGCTGGTCAGACAGACCTCCACACCACAGCCGGCACTGGTCAAGCGGTCACTCATCCTACAAAACAACAGCAAGTTCCAGTCAGTACAACAAAATGTTCTAGAGAACCACTTCTGTGCTACCTACATGTATTCTATTTGTACATGAATCTGTATCTGTAATGTTACATGAATATGTATCTGTACTAATACATGAATCTGTATCTGATTGCAAATAAAGATCATGAGTGATTGCCATAGATAGACCTTCTATCTGCCAACAAAATATGAGTGAGTGAGTGAGTGAGTGAGTGAGTGAGTGAGTGAGTGAGTGAGTGAGTGAGTGAGTGAGTGAGCGAGCACTGGTACACCAGTGAAAAGAGATCAGCACAGGAATTCCAGTGCTGATGGAGGGAGCTTCAGCACTCAACTCTTCCCCCTACCCCACTGATGGAGCTTCAGCACTGGAACGAGGCCGTCCATCATCTTCAGCTTCAGCACTGGAAAACCAGAGAAATTTCACCAGTGCAGAAGGTTTTACTTTTGTATACTTTCCAGACTCAGGAGCCTACAAGGTAGGCACGTGTGTATAATAGTATCAAGGAGGTTAAATACAAGTATTTAACCTCCTTGATAGTATCAAACTTTCAAACCTGAACATTTTGAAGCCAGGAGAGAACCAAGAAATTCGCCCCCCTCCCTTACGCACGCCAGGAACTCCGCCTCATGGAACCAAAAACACGGGGATTTCCTGACTGCTAGAAGTGGAATGGTGACAGATAACCACACAGACACTCACCTGTAACATAAACTCACGCCGTAGCCTCTATCAACAAAATACCAAACTTTACTTGACTTCAAATCTCACGTTTGTCCGCCCGCAACCATTTTGTTACTTTTGACCTTTTAGGAATAGTCCAATAGCGTTAAGGGTGAATACGTTCGAAAATTGGACAAGAGTGTCGCAATTAAATCCCAAGACATGGCATTGAAGCAAATAAACGATTTACTAATTTAGATGTAAAAGCAATGTATTAAGCTCTATTTAGTTTTTGCTCTATTTAGTTTTTGAAAAGTCAATTACAGCATTCAACAGTACCCCCTACATTGAAAAAGAAGTAGTATAGCCTAACGTTGAATGGAGGAGGTAAAGGAGGCTGCACGTGCACCAAAGCTCATAAAGTTTCTGTAGACTTTCCGACTTTCCACGGGACCATCGGAGGATTTAACGTTATAACATGTAGGTTGAGATTATCGATATTAGCAGATTTTGTGTGTGTGTGAGCTGCATTTGATATAGCGTAGCTTTTAAAATTTTATTTATTATCTTTGAATCCTGTTTGATATGGATGACACAGGAGAGTGAAGTAGTAACCAGCAGATGTTTACGATATACAAGATCTAGAGACGTTACCTCTCAAACCCTGGCCTGTTTCTCCTATCTTGACGTTCTAAGCTTTGGATACAACATACTTTCTTTATACAAGATATACTTTTTCCCCCACAGACGTTGACAGCTCCAGTCATGTCTGGTGAGAGGAGGTGCACGTTTTGTGCCCGAGACTGTCAGAAAGGAGGGAAAGTGTGTGAGTTCTGCAGCAAGGCCTCCTTCCGATTCAGAAGGCTCCCAGGAGAGCTAAACGACCATGGCACAACCACCACCTACATGGTTAAAGACTGGACACGGGACCAGCAGCTGCTTACAGGGCTGAACCAACTGCGGGAAGCAGCTGAATTTACCGACATCACTCTCATCTGTGCAGAGGGAAAGACATTAGTTTGCCATAAAGTCGTGCTGGCCACCAACCCTTATTTCCAAACTATGTTCTCCACTGATATGAGAGAAAGCAAAGAGAATAAAGTCACATTTGAAAATATCGAGGTGGACGTCATGGCAGAGCTCGTGTCATTCCTGTACACAGGAGAGATGACCTTAACCTTGCAGAATGCCAGCAGTCTGCTGGAGGCTGCCTGCATGCTGCAGTTTGAGCGTGTGCAGGAGATCTGCTGTGAATATCTCGGCCACCACATCTGTGTCACCAACTGTCTGGAGATCTGGGGTGTAGCGGACATGCTGGGGTGTGGGGAGCTAGCGAGGAAGGCAGAAGCTGTGGCAGTCCGCAGCTTTAGGGAGCTGTCCGCAGGAAACGCTCTCCTGTCCCTTAGTGATGTGCACATGGGTCGGTACATGTCGTCCAGTCTTCTCCATGCCACCCCTGTGGAAGTGCTGAACATGGTGGTGAGATGGTACACGCATGACAGAGACAGGGGGAGACATGTGCTGCCTGACTTGCTCTCACAACTGGATCTCACCACACCTGAGACACTTCAGCCTCATGATCTGGGACAGCAGCAGGACTGGCAAGAAAACATTGACAAACACATGGAACAGTTGGTGACCTTACATGGCCTTTCTGAGGCGGAGGCGTCAGTTGTCAAGGAAGTCTGTCCAGACCAAGTTCCCACCCTACAACTGAACCATCCCCATGTAAGACCAATGAGTTTGAACCAGCTCCTTGTACCACAGAGGAGAATGACCCATGGACATTGTTATTTGGTATGTCCTTGTATGATTCCTCTTCATGTAGTGCAGAGGAAAATAAAGCATCCCCATGTATGGCAGAGGAGTGTGCAGTTCTTGTAGCAGGAGAGAAACAGATGAATCCCAACAGTCGCTGGGCCACAGAGTTCGGGAGTGATAGAAGAAACTTTGTAACTGACATTGGTTTATTCTGCCCCAAGTTGGGTGTTGACTTTCTGGGCTCCCCTGCAGTTGATCTGCCTGATACAGGTAACAAGGATCTTGTCACAACTCAGTCGTTATGTTTGGGGTTTGTGTGTTTGCTATTTTAACTTAAAGAAGTGACCACTGTGTATTGAAATAGTAAGTCTATGTACTGTACATGTAATTAGTAACTGAACTGAATGTTAAGTCTAATGGTGCTTGACATTAGCAGGATAGTTTTAATACATCAGGGATATTTCTAAATTTACCATGGTGCAAAATGAGAATTTTGTGACTCAAGTGAATTACTTGTATTTACACATCTTAACGAAGGTTAGCTGGTAGCGGCTGACCCATCAAAAGTACAGACGTTATAATCGCACCGAGAATAATGTATGAGCACAGAGCAATACAAACTAGATGTCTAATTGACTTTTTATTACATGTTCAACCAGATTTGCTAACATTGATAACTGTTCATCATTCCAGGCCTAAGTGGTTGCAGCGTTGCTGTATGGGAAGACAAGTTGTTCGTGACTGGCGGTGTGGGAGACATGGGTGTTCGTGGCATCCTCTGGTGTTTTAACCTGACCTCACAGACATGGGAGTTCCAGGACACGATGTGTGAACAGCGCTCCTACCACGGCTCAGCGGTCATCAGCAACATCCTGTACTTATTTGGTGGGCGCTCCTTCTCGTCTGGCACGACCACGGACGGAATGGAGGCCTGGGACCTGGTGACCATGGAGCCCCTGAGTACACCACGAGCCCTGGAGAGCTTCTGCCTGGCAGCCTCGTGTGTGTGTCAGGGTAAGATTTATGTGTTTGGAGGGGAGGAATATTGGAGAGAGGAGCCCCTGCCGTGGATCCAGTGTTACGACCCACAGAGCAACACATGGACTAAGACGGAGTCTCTCATGGTGGCCAATAAGGGATCGGCTGCTGCCGCTCTGGGAGACAGGATATTAGTGGTGGGCGGTGAGCTGTGGTCTGGTGTGTTGGAATATTCACCACACAGCGGGCAGATCAGCACACTGCCAGGACTGCGCTATCCCCGGGCCTTCCACGGTGTGGCAGTGCTGAGCGGCAGGGTGTATGTATTTGGTGGGAAGGACGTCGCTAACAATGACGAGACCAAACTGTATGAACTGCCATCGGAGTGGTATGATACTGAGTCAGAGACGTGGGTCTGGTTGGATAGTTTACATGACGATAATCTGATTCAGAAGTGCTACTGGGAGAAAGTGTTTGGCTTTGGCTGTGCAGTCTTTCCAGCTATACAATATTCTTTTGATTGAGGATTACAAAAAGGCTTTCCTGGAAGTTAGCCTCTATTTTGAGACAGTAAACTCTTGTAATATTTCTTTAGTTGTGTAATACTTGTTAGTTGCTGCCCCTTCTGGTAGTTGATGGTAACTGGTAACTATGAAAATGGCAAGAGGAAAAACAAATGTATGCATAATGGATGTCCTTTCTTACGTGTATGTATAGACCTTGCACATTGTATATTCGATCTAATTTGACTTAACGTTAGGTATAGTTGGTAGGAAAATACAGTGACACTGGAAACCAAATTTATGCTTGATCTTAGCTTTTATTTACTTGCAATAAAGACTTGATGGTGGAAAAAGTTTTCAGTGTTATTCTTGTACTCCAGGAAGACTACTGCTAGTAACTGCCTTGATGTTCTACATTGACATCTGGCAATAGTGATGATGATAGTAACCAATAAAGTAACTGATATTCAATGATTTCTTTTTTGTTGGCAACTTTACTAATTTGAATGGACATAAAACAGAAAATGAATACATGAAAAGATGACTTTACAAGCTTGCTTTTCTATAGTGGAAACCTATAGTGAACACTTTTTTTCAAAGCAGCAATGAGTGTTTCCAAAAATACTTTGAGCAGCTACATAATAGCCAATAAACTATGTCTACTCAAAATAACAAATATAAGTTACTCTGCATTGCCTTTTGATATTGACAATTTCCCAACAACTCAAAAAATACGGTGTTCGGTTAACAAATCCCAAATAAACCACGTTTAGTTGATACAAAAAAGAAAAAGGATGTTTTGTCTTCCATCGTAATCCATGGTGACAAATGGAGCTCCTGTATGCTACAGTTGTATATCCCAGTGGAGCCCACCCTAAGAAACGTGCTATACTGTCCCTTTACATCTGTGGTGGTACTAAGTAATAATGTACTCTTCTGGTTATTTTTGTCCAAAGAATTCCAAACCAAAACTAACAAAATGATAACAAAAATAAGGACACGTTTGTTTCATTAGCATCCATAGCCTTGGAAAGTTCAGGTCCCCTTCCAAATGGAAGGAACTGTTAAGAAGCAGACATATAAGCCAGGACCCCAGGCTATAGCAGCTATGGTGATGTCCAGAACTCCTGCATGCCTGAGCATTGAGGCTATGGTGGTGTCTAGAACTCCTCCTGCATGCCTGAGGGTTGAGGCTGCAGTCCTCGCTCCCTCATGGCCTTGACCTTCGCCTTCTCCTCCTCTTGCTTGGCCAGCTGCTCTGTCCGCTGAGCTTCCAGAATCTCATCGATGGAAACCTGCTGAAGTGGCAGTTTGTTCTCATTGTCCACATCCTGGGGAGGAAGAACAGCACATGCATGGATCCACTGAGGACACTTCAGTACAACAAAAAGCCAATGTTGGGGTGTCCTTTGCATTATAAAGCTCAATATACACTGTAGTTTGTGTACTTACTATCTCCCCCAGCAAGACGACATTCTCTCCTCGCACCACAAAGATTCCCCGTGGAATGTCTCCGTACTGCTTCCCAACATGGATACGTTCTATTGTCTTGTGCAACACCAGGTTTGCTGTGTTCAGAACAAGAAACGGATTAGGTCCCGTGTCTGTAGAGAGCCACATCTTTAACTTAAGTTTAAGAACAAATCACACTTTTCAGTAAGTGTAGGGGTCCTTCCCAGTGTGAGAGGATCAAACCTATCAGTTTCGTCTAATGTACCTTGTACTTCAGATGCAATACTGGTGATATTCATCTTAAGGCTCACAATGTATTTTGAACACAGGTCATATGCTTACCAAACTGGTCTATACTCCGTAGGTAGCCGATGAGAGTTCGTCCATCCCTGAGCACAACCAACAGTTTCTCTGCAAGAAAATCACTTGTGAAATTATGTTGGACAAGAGTAATGAGTTCCTACTTCCTCACATTCCCTTTATTCAAGGCATCTAACTTACTACATTATGCAGAATTAACGTATTATCATAAAAATATTATCATAACACTATTTCTGTTAAAAATTGCATCTCTAGCCTACTGTTAATGACCACAACTCAATCGCAGATATTAGTACCATACATGCTATGTATGTTCTGTATAGAATATTAGATAACCACTGTGGTAGGCTTGGGGAGGGGGGCATCTCAACTCTGGATACCAAAACTCGTGTTTCTCTCTATTCAACGATAATGCTGCTTTAAACTTACTATCAATTTCTTCTATGAGGCTGGCTGTCCCAGGCATGTAGTTCATCGTCATGGTTACTGAAGTATGTACTTCTGGGCACAGACACAAGAAGTGGTTTTCTCGACTCTATCTATCCCTTGTCCTGGGCCATGCTTTTTGACCTTAAGAACATTCCATTATATTGGTAGGGACTAAATAATCGACTACCATACAGACACAATAAAACTGATGCCCTTTATGTACCTTTCGACATCTTTGCCTATACGATATAATGTTATTGTAGTAACGGTTGTTGTTGTGTTAATGTTTTATACTCCGTAATAACCTTTTCAAAATTGAAATAAACATCCCAACTCCCCCCAAACATAGTGCATTGTTCCACGTTGATCCAGACATCTCCATCATGGCGTCTCTCCTGCGGTTAGGATTTCGGCGAGGGGTGAGAAAGTCAAACGATTTCTCTGTTTCATTGAGACACATCAGGTCTAAAATTGTATCCAGCACGAAGTATGGTCTATATGTATTGACATGATACCGAATTTGTAAACTGACACGGTTGTATTTGTGCAGGTCGGGGCTGTGAGTCGGCTGACCTGTGCGGTGCAGGGGTCACATCAACACGCCTTCAGCTCAGGTGATCGTCTAAATTTTATATATTCACAAAATTGTACCTTTTCATAAGCGTAGAACTTATATGGAATATGATGATTGAACAGCATAGTTGTGCATCTTGGTGAATATAAATACATCTTGAGGTCAAGGCTCAGGACAGACCAGAGCTGAGTTCCCCAAGTTGCATACTGCACGTTAGAGCTTCAAGCAGATGGTAGCTGCATCACTACTCTGTGGGCGTGGTGAAGCTTAAATCCTGCTGGTACCAACCAATAAGCCAGGCTGCACAGGTTACGCACTTCAGTAACCTGTTTTATCCCTATTATCACAGTTTGGCGACAAGCAATAAATATGACTGTTATATAATGAAACTTTAAAAAACTTTTTTTTTACGCCATTGCTCCTCCTAAACCCTGCGTTTCTCCTGCATGGCCTCCTATCCCCATTCCCTGGTGTGCAGCCTCCCCCTTACAGGCCCCAGCAGTTACCCAGCCTGCACCAGACTTTACAGGCACGGCAGTAGTAAATGGGGACTTCAAGGATATCAGCCTGGTGGACTTCAAGGATAGATACCTGGTGCTGCTCTTCTACCCCCTGGACTTGTAAGTTTCTGTAGAAAGAAGTGATCTTGTTCACCTGGTAGGAGTGGCTGGATGGAATCAACCAGAATAGTACAGATATGTGTGTTCTGTGTTTGATGTGCCGTGCTAAGTGCTGATGAGTCATGTTCTGTGTGTGTACGTGTCCAGTGCCACCTGTGCCTGTAGCGGCTGCTGTGACCTGCAGGGCCCCAGACTTCAAAGGGACTGCTGTAGTTGGGGATGGGTTTCAAGATATCAGTCTCCATGACTTCAAAGGGAAATATGTGGTCATCTTATTCTATCCACTGGATTTGTAAGTCACAAGTGGATTAAGTACAACTTTAGATGTTTTTCTTTTTGTGGTGATTAACGGCAATTTCTGGATTTTCCAGGGGTGATTTTTTAGTTCTCAAGTTCTCCTCCTTGTATATTGTCTATCCTGTGCTGTTGTTGTTGTTCTTAACACATGCTCTCTCCTTTTGTTGTCAAAAATATGGCAAATGTTTCCAGGTTTTTAGGTATCTTGTGTAATGTTATCATGGTTCTTGTAGAGGTTTATAATATAATGTTATAATCTATAGTGCTAGTGGGAATATCTGATCCCATAGCTGAATTAGATTGTAATAAGGTTTTACTACTGAAAGTTTGATAATTCTGTTTGCTCAATGCCAGCACCTTTGTGTGTCCGACTGAGATCATTGCGTTCAGTGAGAAGGCTGAGGAGTTCCAGAAGCTGAAGGCAGAGGTGGTGGGCGTGTCTACTGACTCTCACTTCAGTCATCTGGCATGGATCAACACACCCAGGAAGGTACACTGGACTCCTCATTACACATAGCATAGGTCCTGTAATTACTGACCTTACTAATGTACATGTACCTCTGAATTTAGACTTAAGGAGTTTGAATCCCAGCTGTTATCACTCACCTAATGTACATGTTCCTGATAACATGGAGGTATAAAAAAATATACCTCCATGCTGATAAGAAGCATGTATTGTGTGTTGTTTATTAGCATTTAATCATTTTCCATTTCCCAGCAAGGTGGCCTGGGGGAGCTGAAGATAGCACTGCTGTCAGACTTCAACAAGAAGATCGCACGAGACTACGGAGTGCTGCTGGAGGACGCTGGGATTGCTCTCAGGTAAGATGCCCAGCTTGGTATAAAATGATATGGAATTTGAAATTAAGTTTAAGATTAAACCCTGTTTAAAGATGTATTTGTCTCTTTGTACAACATGATTACATCCAGCACCATGAGAGCATGTGTGATTACATTAGAGTCTAATTTAGACAAGGAATATAACTATTAATAACAATATTCATATTTTCATTCAATCTGCTTCAGCATGTATGTGCCAAGTTTATATTGTATCCTGAAGAAGATTCCCTCCTCTCCACAGAGGCCTGTTCATTATTGATCCCCGGGGGATCATCAAACACATGAGTGTGAACGACCTCCCCGTCGGGCGCTCGGTGGAGGAAACCATCCGGCTGATCCAGGCCTTCCAGTTTGTGGAGAAGCACGGGGAGGTGTGTCCTGCAGGCTGGCAGCCGGGCGCCGACACGGTAAGAACTACATGTAACACTACCATTCACATACACGCATCATGTGTGCCCTGAATCAGTAACAAATAGTCATTTTTGTCCTTACTTCATATTTTTGTGGACCTGTATAATGGTATAATGATGATTTGCATGCATCAAAATGAATTCTTGCAAAGCACTAATTTTCTCATTCTCCCTCACAGATCAAGCCAGATCCAAAGGGATCGAAGAAGTATTTTGACAAGGCAAGCTAGATGGTCACAAGGAGCAGTGTCAGCAGGTAGATGAAAAACAGTCATCTCACCTCCAAACAAGTAGTTCATAAAGTTTAAAGGGACAGCACATAAACAATCATCACTTGTGACTAACATTAGACATACACTTTTGCAAACATTAACAATCTAGGAGGAATATTACCAGAATATTACTATGTGTAAACAAAATGTAAGTTTATATGAACCCTGGATTACTCTAGAGAAGGACTACTCTCTGCCACTTCTGTGTTGCGTGTGTATCAAACTGGACTTCAAATGTGTGCTTCTGTACATGTATTATTGAATGATGCAGCCAGGTTGATATTATTTTGCTGCATCCATTATCATGAACCTAATGTAAGATCTATCTGAGCTCTTTTATTGCCACATGCTGAAACTTCGTATGAACTTCATGGCTGGGATTTGTGTGTTATGTTGGATAGCACAGAAAGCAATATACAGTGTTTAATCAAACTCATATGTGCTCTACTTTGTGTATTGATTGCTAAGTTTTATTGCTTCAGTATCAAACTACAGTCAAACCTGTACTGGTGTCTAGATCACTGTAAGGTTGTACTGCCAGAACCTGTAGCTGGCATCTTCAACATCTACTAGATTACTCATCAACCTCCTCCCTGCCATGAGGTGTTTCATTCATCAAACTTGTCTGGCTACAGCATAAATCAACAAAGAGAAGGGTAATCCTGGCACATTTGTATGATCTGACAAGGGAAGGCTTTGTGCCATAAAATACAAGAAAAACAAAGCCTCAAGTACAGTTGGAGACATTTATTGATATACAAGACATTGACAATACATGTATCAGCATAGAAACACAACAACAACAATTCTTACTTAGAACTACCTGAACACAAACATTGCACCCAAAGTGAATACTTTCCACTACACAACAAATTTCTCCATAATTAACATACCTATAAAGTAAGCTTAACCATATTTCTTTACATAAAACAAAGTAATAAACTGTGGCACAGTTGCATTGCACCTTAAGCTATCTGATAAACATTGTGCTTTTATAGCTCAGCTCTCGTTGTGTTGAAATGAAACAGGAACACATACTGAGTACACAGAACTGTGACTGTCGTAAACCAGTTTGTAAATGTGTGTGATAACATACACATGATATGGCCTGACTGTTGCTGTACCATGTTTTGTAATACTAATAGCCATGATTCTGGCATGGTGCAAAATCATTTTTTGTTGCCGGTTCCACAAAGCCTTGAGTACTGTACAAAGCAAGAGTCACTTCCAGTGCTGAGATAAGATTGGGTGTTGTCCTGTAGATACCACAGTATAACGCTTCAATGACTGACTCAATGACTGAATATTCTTAAATACTAATGCTACCCAAATGGCACAGTTATACAGGACTAGAATGTAATTCAATTTCTGCATATTCAATAGCTACTTCTGAGAGGTCCTCAAATGTAATTACAGCAAAGCAGTCTATCCAACTTTGGTAATAATTCATGTAATGGGCTTTCTTATCAGCTGATTTTGTCTTTGGCACTCAAGGACTACTGATGACGGCGTGCATGATGCTTTATTTGGGCTCTTCACTCTGGACAAGAGGTTCATGTTGTTTCTCATTTGGCTCAAAAGTGAACAATGTCAGTTTTCTTGTAAACATTTGACAACACTAGCATACAATTACCAGTTGCTTACTTTAACACAGAAAATTCTTTTGTAATTTTGGTTATATGTTACTTTTTGATATTTGACAATTTCACCATGCTTTTGTACAAATCACAATTTTGCAATATGACAGATCCTCTGTGACTTCAAAACAAGTACAGATTTGTCAAACACCAATACAAAATACATACATAGTGCACATCAGTATGGAATGTCCGAGTCACACAAAGTGTATGAACTTTCTTGATACGTGATATGGTAAAAGAGGTTTTAAAGGGATGGCTGAGAAATGGTTCACACAATATATACATCATGCAGGGGATCACACAGCTTTCAGCTTAACACTTAATGCACAGCCATGTCTTTACATAAGACAGATTAAGGTCATCATGTCTTCACTTAAACAACACATTGATACAAGTTCATTATGTCTCTCCATGCTGAGGATACTTGAGATGACCTGACCAGCATAGAGCTATCAGACAACTTGACCTGATCAATGTGAATATGTATTTTACACTCTGAAGAACACTTTCACATGCACTTGCCCATTGTACTGAGACAAATATAAAAGTCACTTGGGTTACTGCACATCCCCCATTATACCTGTGTTACTACAGGTACTTCTTTTATCAGTATACAACACCATCAGCCAAGGCCCTGTGTCAGTGTACATGTAAGTTACAGTCCCATGTACATTTGGCAGAAGGTGTTTTAAATACTGCAACAGTGAACCCAAATCAGTACACTAGTTCAATATCCTGCTTCCATGCAGGGACATCCAAACTGAATATTCACATGCAGCAGCTTTGTACATACTATCATTCCATAAATGATCAACTGAATCAATAAGTAAATAACAGCACTTTGCCATGTATTGACTGTATATTGGGAAGGTTTTTATAGACTGTAGCAGCATGGTTTTGTCTTATACATTAAAATAAGTTGAAAACAATGGTTCTAAACCTCTTTGCAATGGAGACAAATGGCAAAAAAATAATGTTTGAACATGTGGTTGTGTACTTTGTTGCATACTCTGTGGTATGGAGTAAACTCTGACATTTCATACATAATGTCCTCATGATGGTTCAGGACAGATGCTGGTGGCAATGATTTCATGTGGGAATGCTAAAAGATTACTCTGACATTTCCTGATGTTTAAATGCTTCATCCAAAATGCCAAGGTCACTTCATTATTCTCTGCCATTGAATCACTCGGCCCTGGCTAGAGTCTTATCCGTACCAAATGTGTTTGAGGACTGATCCATTCCTAATTACGATTGATTTCGTAAGGATGACGAATTCTAATCAGGATTGACAAAATTCTTATCATTTGTAACCATAGTGCTAGGAAAAATCCTTGCCATAATGATGGCAATACTTCCTGAAATTTGCTGCCTATCCTGTATTTTTACCATGTAAAACATTTTGATGCAGAAACCATGAGGTACTTTGATATTTACAAACAGCCTTCCCACCCAATGGATAGTTCCTTCCCTGTAGACTATTTCCTGTGCAGTTTACTATTTTAGTTCCTTTCTTCTTTCTGTATAAACCATATAAGGAGTCATCTCCTGTTCTGTCAATAGTATTTGTGGTTTTGCTTTAATGTTGAAAGGGAGAGGAAATCAGGACATCAGAGAAAAAGACAGCCAACATTTTTCTTTCATGGGACCAAAGCCTCCTTTAACAAGGTTTTGCTTTTTTACAAAAGTCTGAAAATGTGTATTGTGATATCATCAAGACATCTAACTTGTGTTCACTATCCTTTATCTAACTCATCTATAAGTTTAGCATCAGATTGTCTCAGTTGATTTCTAGGCACTAAACATGACATTTTACAACATCTTTTCCTACTCCAGTAGGTCACTTCTGAGGTACCATACTATTATATACATGCATGATATGCCTTAGTGCTCTGTGCAGATTTGCATGTTATGCTGCAGTAGGCTGCAGCCTTGCCTTCCCAGCAGAGGTGTACAGTGTGTCCCAGCAGAGAGGAGTACATGTAGATGTCCTGTCTGTGCTGAGCACTCTGTCGTCCTTCCAAACCTGCAGAATGCACAGATCAAACCATGAAACATCAGTTCTACTCAAATCACAGAACAAATATCATATAGTCACTCACTCAGCTCCACATGCTCCTCGAGGGGGGGGGGCTGTAGAAGCTGTCTATATGGTCCTCCATATGCAGACACACGAGATATATATATATTAGTCACACAAGAGATCTTGTATGTTGTAAACAATGGTATTTTTGTTTTGTGTTTTTTGAAGTTTTGTGACTTACATCGTTGTTGTAAAAGTAAACTTTGTTAAACAAAAATATTGTTGTACACAATGAAATTAGACATTTTCCTGCTGCAACAATTGTGCCTTTTCATCCTCAATTCATCCCCTGAAAGTCTGTTACTATGCTGTGTACATATAGTTGAGGCAAGGAAATGCCAATGTTTTCAAAAGAATATAAAATTACCAACAGGGTGATATAACATTATTGTAAGTACAAGTACAATGGATAGTTGCACTCTAACAACAGTACACATCATTTCTGGAGGATGGTCCTGTCCTTAGTGCTGAACTACCAGCAGCTCAACTGAGCAAGTGTCAGAAACAAGTTACATCATCCTTACACCTAACCACTCTGCCACCCTTACAATGCTTCCCTTCTGACAGTTGGTCCTGTCCCTGGTGCTGAACTACCAGCATTCATTAAAACCTGTTTCAAGTTTCACATTCAATGCTCTGCTGTTAGATGCAAATGTGAGAATACATGTCTATTAATAATTGCATTTCAATAGTTTGTTTATAATATTTGAAAAACAAACAGTGACTCTCTCTTTTCAATACATGTACTTATATATAAAATAGAATATATCACTCCTGGATATGAGAGGATAGATAAATGAAGAGAAGACTGTGTTACACAAGCTGTCGGCCGGAGGTTAACGAGGGGACGGCAACCTTCGGGCAGTGGCCGCCAGGAGTGCGGTTTAGTCATGTACATTTTTATGAAATTAGTTGTTCTTAGATAATAATATAAATACATAATTGACTTATAGTCTACAGGAGTGAGACCTATATGATACACAAGCTAATCTAGCCTAGCATACGTCAACGTTGCCTTGCCTACAATGTACGTATCTGACACGTGTTTGAAGCAAAAAGGCTTGTCACGCAGTATTACATGTTTAGCTTTTTGATGTCAGTTCCTGTAGTTGGAGAGTAATTTGATCAGACCAGCTTCAGGCGAGTGCCAGATTCCATCTGCATTTCAAAGCCTGCGTTTTATCCCCTCAGCCTGTGCCTTTAGAAGTCACGTTTCTTTCATCTCCATACTCCAACCCATACTGACAGGGCTTTGGGATGGGCTGGCACAGCACTTACTGTGGCAATTCATATTTCCTCTGCACATTGAACCAGACACCCCAGTCATGTGTGGTCACAGTAAGATTGCATGGGGATATCACTCTTAATATTGCAGGCTTTTAAAGCTCCAAATTACTCCTGATACATGTTTGATGGTTAATACCTTCATCAAAGCTGGTGGAAGCCGTATTGAGGTTTTTGAAGTGATAATGTAATACTGGAATTAGTTTAAAGTTTGTTCGCAGTCAAAGTCCCTTCAAAAAGAAAGAAAGTGATTTTGTAGGTGTTACAATTGCTTGACATCTATTTCATTTCTATTGTAATGTTACTGAGTTGGTGGTGTGTCTAGGCAGTGGTAATGACTTTACCACTCAAAAAATATTCCAACTCTATATTCCAACAGCCTGTTGCTTCTGATTTAACATAATATACTCACAGTGACGCAAGGAAGAAATGTCAACGGCGGCATATAAAAGCTGAATTAACAAACCTTGCTCTTTTGTGGTCTAGAGTAACCATTGAAACTCAAAGTTCAATATATCAACCCTTAGATCCTGGAACATTGTTACATTTTAGCCCTCCAGTGCTAATATACCAAATCCATGGCATGAAAGGGTAGGCATGAGTTGTCTTTTACCTTTTAGTATCAAGAGAGCAGGGTTACAAATGCGAACATGAAAGGTTGAACATATCAAAGACAGGAAGCATTTCACACAGAAGCAAAACCACCTGCTTCCTGAGCTGTGTTAGGGGATGCCTGAGGACTTAGATTACAGGTCCTTCAGACATTCAGCAACTGATGAGCCAACTGTAATCAATTTGTAAGCCAAAGAAATTCTAAGTAAGCCAAAAACAAATGATCTTCCACATGACACTTCAAGTATCATGTGCAAGATCATTCGAATCTTTACATTCTTTCGAATCTTTACAATTCTGTGTAACTGTCAGCCTTATGAGTGGGGGTGGGACTACTGCTCTCTACTGAATACTTTTACTAGCTATAGGATTTGGCCATGAAACACAAGAATGAACTGGTAAATATGTAGCTTGAGATGACATTTTCCCTTTATGACTAGACAACCAGCCCACTCATGGTGTGACAGAAAGACAAAAAGGATTGGCATGTAAAACCTGCAATAGCCTTGAAGAGAGACACCATGTCTGAAACCAACAACAGGAAATACTCAGATAGTGGAAATAATTTTGCTACATTGATCTCGTTATGCCATAAAAGGTACAGAAAATGCTCCTCGTATATTGCCTGTGTCACGCAAAGGTTTGTAAAGATGCAACTAGACTGAGAGAATACAAAGGCAGTCACTAATGCAGAAGCAATGTAGCTGAAAATATGGAGAAAATTCCATGTGGCAGGTTGACTATTATAAAGCAGACTGTGCACACAAAGGATTCAGGTCTCTGAGACAGGTTTGTGAAATTGGGTGGGACCAGAGGATTTGCATCGTCTTTTTTGTGTGTCACGCAGTCACTATGGTGGAAGATAGCACCGTCTTATTTCTGACAATTTGTGTTTAATAGATGCACCTTAGAAATAACCCCAATCTAGGTCACTCACATCCTGAGTATCTAAAAAGCACTTCAGATTATGAATATAATTAACATAAAGGATTTTGATTTATATGTGACAACCATAAGAAGAACAAATTTTGGTGAATGAAATCTTTTTGTAGAATAGACCTGCTGTAGGCATAATCACTGTAGCTGCCCTGAGGACAGAGTTGAGTTGATTAGGAATACTCTATTCTGTCACATTGAAAGGTTGGTTGCCTGCGTTACACATTTCTGCTGTCTAGAATGTTGTTGCTTTGATTGGTTGAACAGCAGGCAGTGTTGATCACCACACCCTGTAGGCAGTGTGGCACGTGCTTTACTCAAAGTGTTTGTCAACGACCAGTTGTTTTTAACATTGTAGTCCACCAATCTTGTCATATTTACCACTTCTACATGTATGTACAGAACTCAGGTTGATTATGCTACATTACAGGTTTTCATTGGTACTGCAATAAAAGTAGAGAATCTGATATGCACCCTACTAACGTTACTTGCTACAGCTCTGGTTAATATTTAAATTGCTTCATTTATGTTTTCTGCTAAAGTGAGTTAGTTATGAAAGATAGAATACACAAAATGCTTGTTAGGGTAAAGGTTTTACTGTTAGTTATTCTGACAGGACCTGCTGGTCCATACTGAAATCAAGGGTAAAAGTGAATCCCTCTGTGACTGTTAGTCCTGCCCACTGGGCTTTACTGGGAGCCATACCATAATGCACTCTCCATCATGATTACCTCCGTAATGGAAATCAAACAAAGGAGAACATGCTGGAGCAGTGCTCAGGGCACAGATGTGTCCCTAACAGCCATGCTCTGCACACTCAGGCATGCGAAACATTCATATGGATTCTGTCAAATACATTTATCTCTTGTCAGAAAATTCAGACAAATTTTACTTACAACATGCAAATTGGTATGAAAATCATGTCAGACATACACATTGGTATGAGAAAAACTGACATACAGTGTATTTTCTAAAAACTAATGATTTGGAACTGTCATTACAGCTTCTTCTCCAAACTTTAGTAATAAAATTTCATAAAATTCGTACAAACTTGGCATGAATGCTAACCATCCCTGATACTACACTGGTATTAGCCTATATGCCACATATATAAATTCAAAATGGCTGGCCATGCCTTTCATCTTTTTAGTGCTATACATGAATTCGTAGATTAAAACTTAGTATTCTTCACCTAGAATGGACAAAAGCTGTGAAAAAATCAGATTCTGAAGATGCTCCTCTTGTCAGGTGCTTCTATTCCCAAACCAAAAATGGGGCAGGGAGTCAAATAACTTCTTCTGGTAAAGGAGCTACAGATCATGTTTCCACCCATGTCCTGAAGTTTGATCTGTTGATTGCCATGTTGGCAGGGGGGCAGGAATTTTCTCCCTACCTGATTCTGATGGCATGTCTTTTTCATAAGTTGCACAGATACAAAAAAAAAAATGTGATCCAAACCAATGTCCCCTACACTGAATTGATTCTCAGGGAGTAATGCCGTGTACAAATCAGTTTACTACAGATATCATTCTACATCAAAAGTGCTTCATCTGATGGTCTAACCATGCAGATGAGACCAACAGTAACAATAGTGGGTCATTAATGATGACGCAAACCATGATGACATGCTATTATGCCAGCAGCTTGACTGACAGGTTTGAATACTGTCATTTGAAGCTATTTTAAGACCAAAACATGGCAAATGCAGAGGTCAGATGGAACATGGAAAAGGTAGATAGGAATGATTCAACCTTATGGTTTGAATATATGAGAGCAGTGCATACTGACAGGTGATGGTAAAAAAAGATTGTCACATGAACATGTAGGACATCTGTATATCACCTGTGAAAACCTGTATGTCACCTATGGAACACCTGTATGTCACCTGTGGGGCCACCTGTATGTCACCTGTGGGGCCACCTGTATGTCATCTGATACATGTATGCTACCTGGTTGGACATATGTATGTCACCTGTATTTTACCTGTTTGTCACCTGTATGTCACTTGTGGAACTACCTGTATCTAGGGCCAATCATGTACACCTGACCTACTTTACCTACCTTATTACACATCATTCTTTCATTCAGACGACATACAATCATTTATGAAGAAAATGTATGCAGACCTATTTTGTGAAGACCCGGCTATGATTATGATCCTTACAAGCAGCAGGCTTGTCACACATGCTGCAAAACTGCATGTCATTGTTGACAAACCAAACTGGCCTGTACATCAGGAGAACTGATACCACTGCTGCTATGCAGTCTGGTCAGAAATTGGGAGCATCTGAATTCTTAGGAGCACCAAAGATTTCACAGGTTGTTGTCCACAAACATGCTTTTCTGGGTCAGGAAATGCGTTGAATAGACCTGATGATGGAGCAAAGCTATAAGAATAGATGAGCTTTTTCTACAAAACAATGACATCACCAGACCCCAGGGGATTTCTGGGTAGTCATAACTCATTAGGTCTCACAAAAAAATGCTTAAACGATGGAGTGATTAGCTAGTAATTCAGGTGATTTAAAATGCAGTGTGACCCTAATATTTTTACACTGCAATAGTGGTTGAGCACCGGTACATGTAGGAGTGGTGTCATTTCTGATGAGATTCACTGTACAAATGTCTCATGGGACTACAGATAGAGAACACATTGGTAGGAAACAATAGGAGGGGTGGGTCAGGCTTAAAGGATTGGAGCGCTTAAAGAGACAATGTGCTGTCAGGTGCAGCTTAGATAAAATATTTTTACTATATTTTTTAAGTATGTTTTGGTCATTTCTTCACATGATAAGTTGTATCTACTTGAATATTTATCACCTTGCTTTAAGCAATCTTCACACCGTACAAATGTGTTGCTATGTACTGGTCATCTTTTGCAAATGATAATGACTAAAATAATTTTGTTCTCAAGAATGTTTCCAATTTGAGCACCCAAATCCTACAATAGGCACCTTCAAGGTAGACTAACATTTGGCATAGAGAGGAAGCAACCATGGTCCGATACCCCAGTGTGCCTGTCATGCCTTACTCCCTAAACAATGTTGACCTACTGGAGCAGATCTCTCTGTGGTTGCTTTCCTAATCAGTTTCTAAATGTTTTAACCCCAGAGATACACATACAATTGTACATTGAACTGCTACTTAACACTGGTTACTGCAGCTGGTCCCATTCTCAGTGTCACTGTTCTAGATTAATCTTACCTAGAGCAACATTTTAGAATCCTTGTAATACTCCAGGTGACATGGGTTTTCCTTGGCACATAAGCCAGTTGTAACTCTGTATCTTACCAGGTAATACCTCACTCCTCACAACAATCAAACCATCAGTATATGGATTTTATGTGCCTCTATAAAACGTAAAGGTCAGTTTTCTAGTCCCGCAGGGGATTGCATGTCTGTGAGTAACAGAGGTTCAATACCTGTGCAGTGGTGTGTGGCATATCTGTGAAACACCATTGTATATTTCAGCCCAGTTGGAACTCGCTAATCCGTCAACCTTAGCAACAGGTAACCAGGTCTCCTGTCAAGGTCAGTATCTGCCTGATTGAGCCATGCAGGTAGAGATGTGGTACTTACGTCTAACTTGGTTTACAGCACATGTCCATATTACTGACAATGCCATTTACTTAGTAAACTGAAAGTGTTTGGTCTATTACTTTCTCAAAAGCTACCTAATTCCATTCAAGCATACCAAGTTCTGGAGTGAAGGATTGTGTTAGGTGAACCTGATTATGATAGGCAGAGTCTTCTCCTTACGCTCTAAGGCCACACCGATTTAATTTTATGGATGACATCCGCGCGCGCATTGATTTTCGCCTGATCTCAACAAAAAAAAAATCACGTCTTCTGAGGCTCTGGCCTGGCTTTAGGCCCGGGTAGTCCATGGTGGTAAGTGACAACAGAGTCGGTGGTAACTCTAGTCTAGATCTGGAGGACGGCACCCAGGCTATACCGAAGCTCTACGACTCAAGAACATACATACAGTATCGATTCATAAATTCCGCAAAAAGCCAGCATGTGCCGGCCTGTCGTATACGTCGCTATGTAATGCGCCAAATTCACAATACCGGCTTTGTATTACTGTGGTTTAGTAGCATTTTTATTTTTGGCCGGATTTTTCTTTTTTTCGCCCGCCCGCACTAGTTTGGGGGTCTTCAGAGGATGTCATCCATAAAATTAAATCGGTGTGGCCTAACTGAGGGACATTGTCTTTAGCAACCAGATATCTTGTTTTGGGAAACCAGTGTGTAAAACATAGCATGTCCCATCATGCAGTTTTGCCCAAGGGTTGGTCCATGTTATGTCTAGTTTGCAAAGTGAAAGTTTGTTCAGCTTTCTCATCAACTTACGCCTCAGGAGCCAGAGAGCCATATCCTGAGTGGTACCGACAGGAAGCCAGCCTTACAGGTGGGTTGAGAGGTGATGTCATTACACTAATAAGCTGTCATAGAAATGTTTAACTGTGAACAATAATCAGTTCTCTCAGATACTAACATGATTTATTTTTTGCAAAACAATGGATTAGCTGTAAGACTTTCTCTGCCCTGTGTGTCACGACAATTGAGCTCTAGCTCTAAGCCAATAAGTACTCTCTGATGCCCATGAAGACCAACTTCATAAAGCCCAGCAGACACAATCTGTCTTCTGCCCCAGTCAACAGCTGACAGATTGCAAACAGGCAAGGGCAATTTGTTATTCACTTCTCCTCAGCATTCAAGGGCTGTATCCTACCATGCATAATGCTATATATAATACTAGTATTACCACTTCTATACTTGGGACAATAGCACTCTTCAGTCTGGCTTGGGTACTTAAGTAGTGGGAAACAATTATGGCACTCATTTGTAATACAGGTACATGTGTATGTTTAAAACAAGCAGGTGATCGTGACAAGTGATCTGTTTCATAAAGGTCACAGGTAAATTTTAGAGCAGCTGAAAGCTAAGTATAGCTCTATCACATTGACCATGTACCGAAGGGCACAGGCAAGTTTCAGCTTAACTAAGAGCAAGAGTCGTGTGGAAATGTCATTGTTGCACTGTGAAAGTTTAAATGGACTGAATAAAAATATCATTGGAAAGGGATTTGGCTATTTCCTATGAGGGCATCAAAAATGTTGTTTCTGATGTATGTGGGCATCTCTTCTCTTCACTTAGAATGTCACAGATTTCACCTAAAGGACCAGCACTGTGATAGGTTCAGTGGACCAAATCAATGTTGACACAACATCAGGTGTGTTCAAAACTGTCCTTGGTCGCTTTTCTTGGACACAAGATCTCCCCCAGATTACACGCTAGGCTGGACGGGAACAGTGTGGGCTGGGAAAAGTACCTGTTTTGGTCTTTATGTGGAAAATGCACAAACATGTCTAACAACTATCTGTAACAAGTAGGACTTCAGGCACATCCTGCATAGTCCTTCACTACCTCTTCAATCAATTAACAATAGTCAGGGCTAGGTAGTTATATTTGCTGGTATGCCAAATATACTAGGTAGTTCATGTGGCTTTCTTTAGAGACAATTTTCAAAGTGAAGGTGTGAAAAAATGTAATGCAAACTAACTGAAACATTGTACTGGTGTCTGTTTTCAAATATTGAACCACCTGTTGGATTTGCACCTGTGCCTACTGAGTGCCACACTGTCTGCCACACATAAGCAGGGAGTTTCTGCAATACATGTATATCTAAATTTATGTCATCTCACAGTTTTCCTTCCATTCAGATAAACACTGCAGGGCTATGGGCTATCTTGTCTGAACCAGCTTTTAATTTTGAGGACAATGGATAATGTTTGCTTAACCCTTCAGCTGATAATTTTGGGTTGCTTGCACTGAAACAATCACAATTGATAACGTTATTTGTCTCAAGATTCTTCTCAGTGGTAACAAGAAAACGTCATTCATTGTGAATCTTATCTAAAGCAAACACTTTGAAGAGCTAGTACCATTCATGGTTTCACGAATTAAAGACCTCTGTTTGTGTGGATCTTTGATGTTTGTGATGTGGTGAATGTATGGTCCGTTATCTATGCGGGGCTTACCTGGGGTTATGGTGCTGAAGCTGAGCTCGTGCGGACCACTCGGTTCAGGGAGATGTCAGTCTGCGACAGCGGCCGTAACTTGGGGAAACTTCCCCCCTTCTCCAGGCGGGGCATGGTCAGCCCCTGTCCCGACATAGCCAGCTCCTGTCCTGCCGACTCCCGCTCTCCGTCCGACTCGTCGTCTTGGGACATCTCCGTCCCGCTGTCGTTCCCGCCGCCCTCGTCCACGTCGCACTTCTTACTGCCGCTCAGCAGCAGGTCCGGGGACTTCATGCCGGACTCCAGCGAGCTGAAGTCGGCTGCCTGGATGGACAGTCTCTCCTGGCTGGAGACGTGATAGTGCAGACCCTCACTTGTAGAGAACAACACGGGCACGTTAAAGGTCGGACTGGTCGGCAGTTTCGGTTTGGAATGTCTCAGCTCCTGGTCAAAGGCCACCTGTGTGGTGAGTGTGTTGTCTTTGGCAGAATCTATTATAGAATTGCTTTTCCTGCACAGAACCATGTCTTTAAAGGCTTGTCCCAGCTCCTTTTTCTTACTGAAAGCTACGATTGGCAAGAAAACAGCATGGCTGAACATGAGCCACACTAGTGTGGTGTCCACTTGGTTGGCGTAGTCCATGTCTGCCTGGGAGGCTGTGTACACGTGGATGAGCGCAGTCATGATGTAGGGCGCTCTGAGGACGATGAAGGACACCACTAGCATCCCCGTCAGCTTCGCTATGTCCACCTCGGCCCAGAAGGCCTGATCGTGCGGCAGCACTGCGTCTGTGTACTGGAACTGGTTCATCGCCTTGACGCGGCTCCGCTCAGCCACGATGTACTTCAGGATCACGCAAAAGGCCGTGATGATGAGTAGCAGGGGCAGGAGGAAGCAGAAGATGGACACCACCACGACGTACGCCAGCGAGTCATGGGGCTCTAGCGAACACAGGAACCGGGCATTGTAGTAGACGGAGGCCGGCGTGCCGACCAGGATGCAGAGCGAGAAGGCGAGGCTGTGTGCCCAGGTGTAGCCGAGCACGGCACCTGCACGGGGCGGGGACGCCAGGACGCTGTATTGTAGGGGTTCCCGCACGGCCATCACTCTGTCCAGACACATAGTGCAGATCAGCAGGACCAGCTCGATGTTTATAAACTGCACAAAGAAGGAGTTGAACTGGCAGGGGAGGGTAGTGGTGGTGCTGTTGAGCGGCAGGCCGTCCCCAGCCGTGGTGGACGCCAGCACGAACGGGATGTTCAGCAGACAGTCCGCTAAGTTCGCCGCCGCCAGGTTGATGAGGAAGATGTTGAAGACGACATTCCGGAGCCTCTCGGTACTGGCGATGGTCGCGACCAGCAGACTATTCCCCAGCAGGCCGAGAAGGAGGAAGAGGGCCAGGAAGAGACCCCTTGCCGCCACCGCCCCGTCCACGGCCGCCCTGTCGGTGGTGTTCAGGTCCTGTACAGGGGAGGGCGAGCTGTTGGTCCCCACCAGGTTAGCGGTGGCGGGGGTCAGCGTCGCGACCGAGGTGCTGAGAGCCTCCGTGAGCGCCGTGCTGAATGTAATGTTCGCCATGTCGACCTCGATACGCCAGGTGAAGGCGCAGGGCAGGAGTACCTGACGCACGGGCGGCGCTCCCGGCGTCTCTGCCCGTCCTACCAGCCGTCAGCTGCTCGCTAGCCGAGGAACATCTCAACTCATCTCTGGTTCGGAACGTGGATTTGTTATCTACAAACGTGCCACCCAAGAAACCTGTCACAAACACTAGAGAAATGGCGGCGATAAATATTCCAACCTGCGCTCGGGCCAAAGGTGTCTGTTGACTATGCAAATGAGCCCTCCTGACGTGGTAACCAATCAGGTAGAACACCTGAGCCTCGTCCTAACCTGTCGGCCGACTTCCGCATTTCCGCAACAAACGCAAGGAAATCAACACAAACCCGAGATATCACCCAAGGATTGGTATCTCGTCTGGTCTTCAGATGAACCAGGGTTTGAACAATAATGCTATTGAAATAAAGATGATTCAAATGTGAAACAACACGCACCCTGACATCTCCTTTCGACCCTATCCCAACCCGTTCCCGGGTATTTCCCTGTCATGTGGAAGCTCCATAGATCCTCTGTAAGGCTGAACGTCAAGCTCTTGATAACTGTTTACGCCGTTGACTTTTATGAACTTTCGACTCGACGTAAAATCTCACGATTGCCTAGAGGCTTCCTGACTCACTAGCAAGAGGCTGTATGAGAGAGTGATGCTTTTGGCTAGCTCTGATGACGCAAACTGTTATAGAACTTGATCTTATTCGTACAGAAATGTTGTCTCGATGAAAACCAACATTGTACCGTTGCCATGGAAACTTCGATAAACAAGCCAGACAAGCACACCCACAAAAGGTCACCGCACATTGACCTTCACGGTCTTGATAAAAGCATGGGTTTTCTTGGATCTGTGTGATTACGGAGATTAATGAGAGAATATTAAACACCGAAACGCAGTCTTCACTTGGTTTCGTTTCTATTGTACTTGAAGCATTGTCATTATTTGTTTGTTTGTTTGTTTGTTTGTTTGTTTGTTTGTTTAAAATATTGACAATCCGTACGACCACCATGTAAAAAAGACAGGTTGGTGTATGAGGTGGTGAAAGGTCACAAGAAACAAAACAAAACCACTTCACACACCAATCACTACAGTAACAAGCAAGGTGGGCAACGGGCGGTCTTCATTTCAGTGATGTCAGCCGCCGGGCGAGCCCACCGCACCGCCACGCGTGCATGGGAGATTAGGGTTGTCTCAGCAAAACCATCAGCTTTCTGACCTATTCTTTCTTTGTATGCATTATAAGTATAATATATGCAACCTAAAATCAATTTAAAATTTCGACAAACGGCAACTAGTGGCCTTTTTATTGTAGCAGATGTCAAACACGATGTAGAGCATTAGTTGATCACAGGCATCCGCTTGCTTTCGTGTCCAGTTTGGATAGGAGTCTCATGTTATCAATTTAAGGACATTCTATATAATCTACAAATTTGAAAGTAGAGGACGAAATATACGTTTCATTGACCCTTTAGGGTTGTTTCGCATTCCGGTACAATTGGTAATAGATGTCCTTAGTATGTTTTATGAAAACATTTTGACAAACATGTTAACAACA